CATCAGCAGCAAGTGTGCTATGATGAGTAAAAAAAATATGTCATATCATTATATGTCATTTCATAAAGTATTTCAGAATAGAAAACTGACATTTTAAATTGTTTCACAATATTAGTCATGATAAACTGACATTGCGATGTTTTGTTTTTCTGTTATTTATTTATATATATATATATATATATATATATATATATATATATATATATATATATATATATATATATGAGCAATTCCATGCAAATGTCAACCTTGCCATAAAAAAGTTCTCACCAAAATATCGAAACCGTTTCTGCATTTTTTGTGTAAAAAATGATTTGATTGTGATTTGATTTAATTTTCGTTCGAGAAACATACTATTTTCAATGCTGAAAGTATTTCTTAATTTAGTTTGGTTGAAATGGTTAAATAACTCAGTAATAATTAACCTTTTTACAAGGAGAGGATATTCATGGCAAAATTATATTAGATAATGAGGAGTAATAAAGAATACTCAAAAATGTCTTTGGTAATGTTTTCAAACTTTTTCGTCACATCTATAACTCTTCTTTATTTCCCTCATTAAAAATATGTTTACAGATTGATATTTTTCTGCTGCCTCTCTGTAACTCTGTGGTTAGTTGTGGAAAATATAAACAGATGTTTCAATATAATGCTAACATAAACTTTCTATGTGAATTTATGTTTTAATTTTTACTGCAAACGTCACATCCATAATGCTGGAATTGCTCGTATGTATGTATGTATTTATGTATGTATGTATACACACACACACACATACACACATATATATATATATATATATATATATATATATATATATATATATATATATATATATATATATATATATATATATATATATATATATATATATATATGTATATACATATAAAGGATTTGTATTCGTAATCCACCAGAGGATTTGTATCAATTTGGAAAGAATTCATAGTTTCATATTTATTGCGATGATTTAATAGGGCAAATATTCGGCCAAAAGACTCTTACATAACATTGTGTGTTTGTGTGTGTACTTTTTTTCTTCTTCTTGACAATAAATACTAGGAAAGGCATTTATTCCTCTGCTGGGATCATTTGACTCTTCATAGCTGTATTTAAACAGCCACACATGAAAAAATACTATAGTAATTTATAGTAAATACTACAGTGTTCAGAACTATAGTAAAGTGTATTATACTGTATAACGCTTTGTTAATGAATGCTACAGAATACTGTTTAACTAAAAAAATACTGAGGTAAACTGTAGCTTTACTGCAGTAAAATGTAGTACAGTATTTATATTTTAGTTATATTAGTTGCAGTATTACTACAGAAACTACAGAATTACCATATCAGATTAATTTAAGTACTTTATTATAGTGAGTATTAGAGTTGTCGTGATACCATTAATCTTACGATACTGTACTACTGTAGCTGAAGTATCATGATACCAAGCAGTACTGTGATATTGTAATGGATTAATATAAGTGTAGATCAAAAATTCCTGACGATTTACTCAACCCTTGCCATCCAAGATGTCCAATTGCTTCTTCAGTTGTAAAGAAATTAATGCTTTTGAATGAAATGTTTAAGGATTTTTCCTTATTCTCCATATTCTGAACATATATGGTGCTCAAAAGTCAGTACTAAAAAGCTCCAAATAATACTAGAGAAGCCCAAAAGACTCCTACATAACATTGTGTGTGTGTGTGTGTGTGTGTGTGTATTTTTTTTTCTTCTTCTTCTTGACAATGAATACTAGGAAAGGCATTTATTCCTCTGCTGGGATCATTTGACCCTTCATAGCTGTATTTAAACAGCCACACATGAAAAAATACTATAGTAATTTATGGTAAATACTACAGTGTTCAGAACTATAGTAAAGTGTATTATACTGTATAACGCTTTGTTAATGAATGCTACAGAATACTGTTTAACTAAAAAAATACTGAGGTAAACTGTAGCTTTTACTGCAGTAAAATGAAGAACAGTATTTATATTTAGTTATATTAGTTGCAGTATTACCACGGAAACTACAGAATTACCATATCAGATTAATTTAAGTACTTTATTATAGTAAGTATTAGAGTTGTCGCGATACCATTAATCTTATGATACTATGCTACTGTAGAAGTATCACGATACCAAGCAGTACTGTGATATTGTAATTCATACCTCAAAGTATTAGGAAAATTGTCAGAAATACTATAATTTATGTTATAATAAGCCTACTCAAATTTAATGTATAATTCCCTTAAGGCCAAAATGTATTATTTGCACCTCACTTTACCAAAAATTTATACATTCTTTTTGTTTATTTTGTAGATAACTGAGCAAAAAAATACATTAAAATAAAGATACAACTTATACCAAATGAAATTTGTTACAAAAGAGCATTTTTCCAGCAAAATTAGGCTATATGAAGAGGTCAAAATTAATGTTTCCTGTTGCTCTTTTGGGTTTTTCATCTATTTTTTTTTCAGCCTTATCAGGTAACAATCCAAAGTAATTCATATTCACAATTTCACTTTGCGAGTCGTTCTTTTCTAGAGATTGTTGCGGTTGTTGTAGCTACTAAATCATATTGACAGGAACAGAAATGAACTGATTCAGATGTGCTTTCGAACTGAAGCATTAGAAAACGTGCAATAGGCTACCATAAAAGGTGCAAATTCTACAGTTTTGTAACCTTAAAGAGCTTCACAGACTGTTCAAATGAAATGGTCTACTTTTGCACAAACGTGTGAGAATTTAAGTGACATTTCCACATGCAAACTTATTGTAGATTAATTATTAATGATGATACTATCGTTTATAAACTACAGTGGCATTGCAGTATTTTGGAGCCATAGTATTAGGATACTATCATAGTACTGGTAACCCGTGCAACCCTAGTAAGTAAAATCTAATTTAAGTTCTTCATATAGTAGTATAGCATGGTTCAAACATACATTTTATTGCCAAGCAGTTTGAAAGATTGAACATTTGAGCACCCAAGTCCACTACATGGAGGAAAAATCCTGGAATGTTTTCCTAAAAAATAAATAAATAAATAAATAAAAACTTAAAATAACACTTTCTTTACTCAAGAAACAAAAACATGAACATCCTGGATGACAACGGTGTGAGTAAATTCGCAGAAATCCTTCAATTACCACCACACTCACGCTCCACAAAACAATGACTCAGGGCAAGTGAGGAAAAGCCAGCAAAACAACACGAATCTCCTGAGAGCTCAGTCCGAGTGGACATGACAGAGGAACTGCGAACATCACATCAAAACACACCGAGAAACACTCTTTAAAGAAGATAAAATCCTATGAAATTCATTCACTCATGAATTCATATTAAAGTCATAACAAATTTGGGGTGTTTATAACAACAAAACAGCATCCTTTTCATAAAACCCACTTGAAAAAATATAATACTATTGTAATTTATAGTCAATACAATAGTGTTTTTGAACCATACTATAAGTAAAATCTTTGTTGTACAAATTCATAATAATAACGAAAAATTTTGGATTTCCTTACTTCTGGGTGTAACTATCTGCTGTTGTGGCTGGAGTATACTGGGAAATGTTCTTATCCCTTGGTTTGAAGTGTGGTCCTTAAAAATCTTTGTTCGAAAAGGTATTCCGTCCCCTTAGTCCTACGCCTAATTCAAGTAACATTACTTTACCATAGTATGAAACGAAAACACTAACATTACATTGTATTACACTTAAAAAAAATTCAATACTATAGTAATTTATAGTAAATAATACACTATAAATAAAATGTATTAAACTGTCTTACATTATAGTATTTACCACACTTCTTCAGTGTACTGCTTAGATTATTAAATAAAGATCTGTTCAAACTAATAAAACTAACAAAAGTGTAATGTACTATAGTAAACTGTGGTTTAATGCAAAATAATATACCCTACAGATAATTTTGGATAATTTGTTCATATTACTAGAGATGTTGTATTACCATAGCATCTATTAAAGTACCACAACAAATTAATTCAAGTACTTTACTTACTATAGTACATACAATTTTTCATATGGGAACTTAACTACACTGTAAAAAAATCCTGGGTGCCCTGAATTTTTAAGCTGAATCAAATTAACCTTATGTGTCCATTGAACTTATATTACGTTAAACTGACTTAAAACAGCTTGCATGGCTTATGAAGTTAAGTTAGAACAAGATTAACTTAGTTTAGTATGTTACAATGACCTAAAAAAATATCAGAACTAATTGATCATAGTTTTTTACAGTGTACTCTGATTTCTCTTTACAAAATCAGAAAGTTTTTTATTACGGGCAATTCGCTGTAGACATTTCTAAGTCGCTTTTGGAAAAAAATAACTAAACGTGTTATCCAAACATTTCGACGATTAAAGTACTTCATATAGTATGAAGTAGATACGCTTTATGTTTATATTGCGGTATTGCCATAGCAACCATAGAACCACCACAACAGATAAGTAACGTTACCATAGTATGAACCAAAACGTTACGGTATTACCATAATATTTTCATATGGGCATTAACTACACACACGAACTCTCTCTTAATTCGTCCCTATTCTGACTTACATTTGTTTTTCTAACAAAACCATGTTATTAGCACTTTACGACGAATCAGTGTTTACATCCCTCATTCTTAAGTCGCTTTGTTTATGGATAAATATTTAGGTAAAGTTGGTTTTATTTTCGCAAATTCGTTAATTTCTACGTTCCCCATACTGTCTATTTTGAATATTTCGTCTGAAATTGCTTTTAAGTATGACTTTAACACAACATTATTTAATTGACTGAACAATGTTGTTGCCTACTTTGATAGTCATTAGTTTCTGATGTCATACAATTTGCGAATAATACCTTTATGAAATTATATTTGTATGAAGAATATATAGCCTAACCAAATTTACCTCAAAACGATAACTAGCGTTAAACATAAACAAGGTTTAACAAGACTTTCCCACGATAAAAGAGCAGTAGAATCGCTTACCTTTAGTCAAATGTTTGATATAGACTCGGTTAAATCCCTGAGTGAGAAAGTGAGAGACAAGTTTTCGTCCTGCTCGTGTTTTCTCTTGCTCTGAATGATCTGCTGAAGTGTGAACGGCTGTTTTACTACAGAGAGGAGGATGCAGCGAACAGGTGGGCGTGACGTGACGCTCCCTCGTCACTCTGGAGAGGTAGAGAGTGCGTGAAATGCTGTAGTCACGGAGATGGGGCTAATAAGACTTATTATTAAGTCACCTGAGTCCAGTCCTCTAGGAGCCCGATCAACACAACAACGAGTTTGTGTCGACAGGGAAATGTGTTGGTATAGTATCAAAGCTAAATATTTAGGTGGAAATATAGACGCGAATGTGTGCGCATTTGTGCTGTAATGTTTGATTATGGTCAGGCTGGCTAATTAAGTGGTAACATTTACATTGTAAATGTATTTATATATTTATTTGCATTACTGCTTTTACAAGAATGCACTCGAACATGTAATTCTGAAAAAGGTTTCACATTGTTAATAGCCTACTACACATTTTCCCCAGTTTGGAATAAGGAAAAGAAAGAGGAAACTATGACACATGAAAGACACAAAAGATTCCCTCAAACAATAAACTCAATAAGCTTAAGACAAGGAAAAAAGCAATTAACTGGGACAAATAAGTAAAAAAATAAATAAAGTGGGACCAATTATGAAATCAGTAAAAAAAAAAAAAAACTTATAAAAACAAATAAATGTATCAAAAAAAAAAAAAAAAAAATATATATATATATATATATATATAGGTGAATTTCTCACAACACTATTTACATTTGCACAACAGTTAATACATTTCTCAAAACAATTAGTCAATTTTGCACATCATAGTAGCAGTGTGTCATTCCTTCCAACAAATTGCAGATGCTTTTTGATATGCATCAATTGCTTTCATACAACCCTCTGCTGTTTTATATCGTTTTCATTTGCTTATGTCATGTCAGTCAAAATTAACTAAACTTGTGAATGCTGAATAGTCATTCCATATAAAACTAATAGTCCTCATTTCATTATTCGAGTCATTACATACTAAAATGTTGAACTAGTTCTCAAAATCTGTCAAGCAAGTTTTATAAAAAAAAAAATGTAAATATTTTTTTTTCTTGAAAATGTCTTCTAAATTGAACAATTTCATGAATGATTTACAGACCTGTGTATGTTGTAGGTTCAGCTCCAATATGTACTGCAATATTGTCTACAGTTGTGCACAGCTCTACCCAAAGGGAGTTTATGTTTGTTGTAAATAAGGGTGTGTTTACTCTTTTGCACAATGATGTAAGTAAATTAGAATGGTAAAGAGCAAATGCAGTGGAAATGTGAAACATACATATTCAGTGTCTTGTACTCAGATACTTCACTAAATGCAGTGATGTATGACTTTACTGTAGTTTTCAAACGACTGTGCAAATAGTATATAGTGCTGTCTTGAGCATTTTCAGGAAGTGTCACCAAAATCTGACTTTTTGCATTGGAAAAAAAATTACAGAGTAAACTGTCATAATGAAAACATGACAAAGCCATTTGACTATCATGTTCATGAACAATGGTGTCAGGACTTTTCATCTTGATGACACTGACACTTTCACTGACATCAAAACTTGCTTTGAGGAATGAGCTCTCCATTTAGAGCAAGTGACACACTTATGCAGGTTATCAACTAGGTTTTGCAGTTTGTACTAATTGTTTTGAGAAACGCATTGACTGTTGTGCAAAGGTAAATAGTGTTGTGAGAAATGCACCAAAGCGACTGAGGAAAAAACTGTAAACAACATTACATGGTTAACGGATTGTCTTCATGCAAGAATTTACAAATATTGCTTGTGTCTTCATCAGCTTCCTATAAAGTTCTGTGGGATGGATGGGACAGACAGACAGACAGACAGACAGACAGACAGACAGACAGACAGACAGACAGACAGACAGACAGACAGACAGACAGACAGACAGACAGACAGACAGACAGACAGACAGACAGACAGACAGACAGACAGACAGACAGATAGATAGATAGATAGATAGATAGATAGATAGATAGATAGATAGATAGATAGATAGATAGATAGATAGATAGATAGATAGATAGATAGATAGATACAAAGTTTAAACAGATACAGATGGATGGATGGATGGATGGATGGACAGACAGATGGACGGACGGACGGACGGACAGATATACAGTAGATAGAACGACAGACAGACAGACAGACAGACAGACAGACAGACAGACAGACAGACAGACAGACAGACAGACAGACAGACAGACAGACAGACAGACAGACAGACAGACAGACAGACAGACAGACAGATAGATAGATAGATAGATAGATAGATAGATAGATAGATAGATAGATAGATAGATAGATAGATAGATAGAAACAAAGTTTAAACAGATACAGATGGATGGATGGATGGATGGATGGATGGACAGACAGACGGACGGACGGACGGACGGATATACAGTAGATAGAACGATAGATAGATAGATAGACAGACAGACAGACAGACCGATGGATGGATGGATGGATGGATGGAAATACAGTAGATAGAACGATAGATAGATAGAGGGTTAGACAGACGGACGGACGGACGGACGGATATACAGTAGATAGAACGATAGATAGAACGATAGATAGAACGACAGACAGACAGACATAGATATAATTTTGAGGGATGTAAACAAAAACAATAGTCCAAACATATTTCCTGTTTTGCATTTGAAATTTCCATAGCTTCCAAGAATCCAAACATTAAAATATGATGAATAGCCTCTTGTTACATGAGATAGTTCGACAACAAACAGGAAATGTTCATGGGCCAATGACATCACCGCAATGAAATGGATATATATATATATATATATATATATATATATATATATATATATATATATATATATATATATATATATATATATAAGAAATTATGTGGAAAACCTATTAACTTAAGCTACAATACATTTGTAAAGTGATGAAAATGTTACAAATTTAAATATAAAATAAAAAGAGTTTTTGATCAAAGTAAAACGTAAACAACGTAAAAAGAATCAAGAATGACACTAAAAGAAAGCATGGTGAAGGAAGTAACTTAGTCAAAATTTGTGGATGAGTGGTTTAGAGGAAGAATGCGGTCAGTGTTCCACCTGTAGACAAACTGGCTTTTCCCAACCTCCGGCAGCCAATAAAACACAGCTCCTGATGCTCTGGGCAAGGCCAAAGTCACCGCCATTTCACTCGCTCTTTAATCCCCACGTCCAGAAACACCACATTCACACACACAGCAAACATTGACCAGGAACCTGAAAAATGAAAGATTGCAAGTAATAAAAACAGGACATTTACATGGAAAGACCACCAAAAAAAAACAAAGTAATGCAAACTTACAAGGAACTATCAGTACCTGAGAGTTGAAGTATTCGATGACACTTCCTTGTACAGTTCAGATTAAGAGCTTAAGATTTAAATAGCTGTACAAATTAAAGCTTTGCAGAGTTTCATACACCAAAAAAGTGAGAAATAACTATTCAGTGAGATGCTAAGGGCTTTATAGTCTTGCGCTGCACCCATTAGCATGATTTACTTTTATTTTAGAGCACAAGTTATCATGTATTTGTCACATTTTGTAACATGTACATGTAGATATTTACATTTTAAAAGAGCTGAAATATGATGGTTGAATGTAAGGATGTCATTAAAAAGAGGAAAGTTGATATGTTCAACATCACCAGGGTGAACGGAGCTAAATATAGCCATGATTTGCACAATACAAACACACGCTCAGTCATGTTGAACACGTCATGTTTAGATCAAATTTCAGATTCATAAAGTTTGATGGTGGCTCAGTGGTTAGCACTGTCGCCTCACATAAAGAAGGTTGCAGGTTTGAGGCCTGGCTGAGCCAGTTAGTAATTCTATGTGGAGTTTGCTTGTTCTGTCTGTGTTGGCGTGTTCCGGTTTCCCCCACAGCTCAAAAACATGCACTATAGGTGAATTTGATTAACTAAAGTGGCCGTAGTGTATTAGTTTATGGGTGTTTCCCAGTACTGGGTTGCTGCTGGAAGAATATCCGCTGTGTAAAAATTATAACGGAATAGTTGGTGGTTCATTCCACTGTGGTGACCTTTGATAAATAAGGGACTAAGCTGAAGGAAAATGAATGAATGAATATACTTATATGGAGGATATATCTAGATCAGTCGTCTTTGGTTAAACATAACTTTACAGTAAGCTTTCATTGGACGATATTACTTCAGGTTAATAGATAATCTCACAATATTTTCACTTCTTTTGCATTTCGTCACCTTAGAATTATAAGGTTTTATCTGACATTTCTGTCAAAATTTAGTTATTGACATATTCTTATTAAATGAAAACTTATTTACATTATGGGATGTTTTTTTATAAGTTGTTTAGGTTTTAAGGCTTTTTATTTTAAAAACAGATGTTAGACAAATACTATTTGCTAAATGGAATGCAAAAACTTTGAAGCTCAATATATTTAAATCATTCAGAACGCAGACAGAACCCTATAATTCCAAGGTGATGATTTGTATTTATTACTAAATAACATGGACAAACTCTAGTATTTGGCATTTTTAATGAACAAAACATTTATTAAAGAAACATTAAAGTCTACATGAAGCAAAAGCTGCGACATTTTTTTTTTCGTATTGTGACGCAGTTCCTAGAGAAACAGAATATTAAATGAGAAAAGCATTTCAAGCAGGATAACACACCATGTCATAAAGCCCAAATGATCTCAAATTGGTTTCATGAACATGACAGTGAGTTCACTGTATTCAAATGGCCTCCACAGTCACCAGTTCTCAATCCAATAGAGCACCTTTGGGATGTGGTGGAATGGGAGATTCGCATCATGGATGTGCAGCCGACAAATCTGCAGCAACTGCGTGATGCTGTCATGTCAATATGGAGCAAAATCTCTGAGGGATATTTCCAGTACCTTGTTGAATCTATGCCACGAAGGATTAAGGCAGGTCTGAAGGCCAAAAGGTGGTCCAACCCGGTACTAGTAAGGTGTACCTAATAAAGTGGCCGGTGAGTGTATGTTATGGTTTATTGTTTGTTCAGTATAGTAATGATCTAATGAAACCTTATTGTAAAGTGTAAGCAAAATTCTTAATTGTAGCTCAACACAATGACTTGACTGGAATACATCATGCTTACAAAACACTTTCATGTTGACATGTAAAATAAAAACTTTTATGAAGCAGTATGACCTTCAAAGAACAGGCTTAGGTTAATTATGATCACCCTGATTTGGATTTAATGATTCAGATATTGGATTACAAATAGAAAATGAATGTTTGTTCAAACAGTTTCAGCAGAATTACAGTTTTGTTCTTCTGTGTCCAGCACAGGAATAAAAAAAGGATAGTTAAAAGACAAAAACACTGTTGATCTTTTAATCAATGTCTCTTTTGCACATCCTCTATTCAATTATTCATCAAGAATGTTTCAGATCCTGATTAGTAACAAAAAAGATTTACCATAAAAGCACTTAAAAGTGCACAAAAAGAAAGAAACACTGTTCATTTCACATACGCGTGACCTTGTATTCCTCCTTTAGCTTGATTCAGCTGGGCTGTTTGTCCGGATGGCTTTTGAGCTTGTGGAATTTGACGCTGTCGAGTTTTTCGAAGCGTTTGCCGCAGTGTTCACACGTGTAGTTAAAGTGCGCTTCAGACGTGTGTTTCCTCATGTGCCAGTTGAGCGATGCCCGCTGCCGACACTGATACCCACATATCTCACATCTGCAGGAAAAAACAAAACACTTCTCCTATAATCATGATTGATATCAAAGTACACTTTTAACTACTAGCCAAACCCATTCCATGCCATCAAATAATAATAAATAAACATATATATATATATATATATATATATATATATATATATATATATACACACACACACACACACACACACACACACACACACACACACACACACACACACACACACACACACACACACACACACACACACACACACACACACACACACACACACACACACACACACACACACACACACACACACACACACACACACACACACACACACACATATATACATATATATATAATGTACACCCACAACTGTACAGATAATTAATCATATACCTTCATGAATAATATATATCTGCACATATTTACAAGAGTCCACTCAATCATCAGCTTCTATACATTTCCTGACAAAAGTCTTCAATTAATCAGTAATTCAAGTCTTACCTCCAGCACAAACACACGTAGGTTAATAACAAAATCTGCATAAAGCAAGTCTATAGCCTTCACTGATTGATTACATAACATATATATTTGTTGTTATTAATATAAAATATAATTTCAGTTGATTGTGCAACACTATTACACAAAACTAAATAAATAAATATTTAAAAAAATAATAATAATAAATCACAGCTATATAAAATCTTTTCATTTGAAATTCCATTAAAAAAAATCTCTAATAATCCTTATTGAAAATATCCATTAATTCTCCTCTCTAAATAAGAGCATAGTCTTCATTGACTCTTAAATACCGCCGTGGTTTGCAGTGGTTGTGTTGTAGACATTTTTTGCACTATACTGTTTGGTTTCACACCAAAAGCGTGAGTGGCTTGTAAGCAGCGTGTCAGTGTAACTACACCGTTAATGAAGCAGCAGTGCAGACTGGAAAATATTCACACCGGAAGCGTTTGTAGAGTGTGATGATGCAGCGGAACAAAAAGCTACACTGTTTTTTTATCTGCTAATTATTTATCTGAAGCTAAATTTCATTTAATCCTGTTTTTTTTAGTCAAGTTATATTTGGAGATACTGAATTTTTCAAACTTGCAATATAATATAATATAATATAATATAATATAATATAATATAATATAATATAATATAATATAATAATACAATATAATATAATATAATATAATATAATACAATATAATAAAGTATAATATAATATAATATAATGAAATATTGTATAATATAATATAATATAATATAATATAATATAATATAATATAATGAAATATAGTATAATATAATATAATATAATATAATAAAGTATAATATATTATAATATAATATAATACAATATAATGAAATATAATATAATATAATATAATATAATATAATAAAGTATAATATATTATAATATAATATAATACAATATAATGAAATATAGTATAATATAATATAGTATAATATAATGTAATATAATATAATATAATATAATATAATAATACAATATAATATAATATAATACAATATAATAAAGTATAATATAATATAATATAATGAAATATAGTATAATATAATATAATATAATATAATATAATATAATATAATATAATATAATATAATATAATATAATATAATATAATATAATATAATATAATATAATCAGTAGGCCTCTGTCGGTCAGAGTTGACCATGAATGACAAATTCTAATTCTTATCTTGAGGCATGACTGACTGTCTGAGACAGCGTCTTTAGTGGCTGAAGAGACCAATACAGGAGAGGCATTCTTTGCTGCAGAAGTCGCATCGATAGGTGGCTCCCTGGCTGTCATTTTTCCGCACCTTTCTGTGAACTTGCTTGTCCTCCGACGCCCACATCATGTTTTTTCACCTGACTTGAACTGTTTGGTCAGGGTGCACCTCCATTTCAGGCAGTCTGCTGCAAGGTCTTCCCAGGACTGTGTGTTTATGTCGAGGGCTTTTTATGTCTCTCTTCACGACATCTTTAAATCGTAGAATCGGGCGCCCTGTGGTTCTCTTCCCGGATGAGAGTTCTCCGTAGAAGAAGTCCTTGGAGATTTTCCCATCCCCCATCCGGCGTACATGGCCAAGCCAGCGCAGGTGACGTTGTTGGAGCATTGTGTACATGCTGGGAAGGCTGACTCGAGTCAGAACTTCAATGTTGGAGTCTTTGCCAGGTAATATCCAGGATGTGGCGCAGATCTCATAGGTGGAAGGTGTTCAGTCTCCCCTCTTGTCTTGCATAGATGGTCCATGTCTCACTCCCATACAGCAGAGTGCCGTTGACACAGGTTGTCAGCCTGTGGTTTGTCCACACTATGGTTGTCAGGCGGGCTAGAATAGAGGCTGCCTTCCCGATCTTCTTGTCGATCTCAGCATCTAGGTAGAGGTTATCTGTGATGGTGGAGCCCAAGTACGTGAACTGGTGGACAACATCAAGCTGGAAGTTGTTTACTATAATGGCTGGTGGAGTGGCAGTGTCTATATAATATAATATAATATAATATAATATAATATAATATAATATAATATAATATAATATAATATAATATAATATAATATAATATAATATAATATAATAATATTTGAGAGGACAATATCTGCTGTAATATAAGAAAGGAAATTGATTTTTATTATTCTTAATAAAATTATTATTCTTCCATTACATTGATACTCTGGGTTCATGTTTGCCTGCACACAGAATCTACCAATATTTTTAAATAAAATGTTTCCCAATTACGATCTTATTAATATCACTTTTATTTTTATAATTTTTTTATTTTATTTTTTTATTTTATTGAGCATATATATATTATACAATTTCAATCAACAATATAAAAAAGGCTCAAATATTTTTGTGTGAATATACATACAAAACAAAGCAGAGAAGACAAACAATGTGGAAGTAGAATACAATTTTGTAGCAAGAAGTACAATAAGAGTTTATATATAAAAAATGGAAGAAAATATGTTTTTATACAGATACTGATTGTAAGAAGTCTATGAAGGGTTGCCAAATATTATAAAAACCTGAGAGATTGTCCTTCAACAGATATCTTATTCTTTCTAAATCTAAAGTATTGGAGAGATCTCGAAGCCACATTTTGTCATTAGGTATCGTTGGTCCTTTTTATATGACATCAAAAGTAATTTTTTTGCAGTAATAAGAGAGAAGGAATATATTATATGCAAACTCTATGAACTTCTTCATATAGTAAACTTAACTCGGCCACTGCAAGATGTAAAGTGAGCAGGATGTGTTTGTCAAACTCAACATATTTTGCGAGGTTTTTCCCCTCCCCTATTTTTTTAACACCACATCCTTTTAAGGGCTCTGTAAAAATTCTGCCGTGAAGCAGTCTTATATTTTTGGCCTACTTTTTTTTTTTTTTTTACACACTATACTTGGACTTGGATACTTGGATTAAAAACACATTTATATTCAGTTCCTTGTTCTAACTGCTGCAACAACAAACAAAAGATCCTGAAACAATGACAGGATCCATCTACTCCAGTTAATCTTACTTGGAAACTTACCGGACATCATTAGTTTGGAATATATCACAGCTAAAAAAAAAAATTAGCACCAGCAGGAAAACTACAATTTTGGTAAAATATGAGAGAGACTGTATTAGACATGTTTCAATCCTGATTTTGTATCTACCTATTATTGCACTAATGTACCTATTATTGTTACATTCCCCTGTAGAACCTACTTTAGGGTTATGTGTGTGCGCTTTTGTTTGTATGTGGGTGTGTCGTTTTACAGTATGTGGGTTTTAGGTACGAACGGCATTGGAGAATCTGTATTACGAGCTGATGACGTTCGGAGCTGACGCTGGGATCGCACCACTAAACGTTGGTTAGCGTAGCATTTAAAAAGCCAGCCCTACTGAAATCCCCTACTATCTCTCGGTCTCTCACTCTTACTCTTTCTCTGGCCTTGGTGTTGAATGGGGCTCTGTGAGGACAGTCTCTCTTTAAAGGACTAGTCTGAGAGAAATTTGGTTGTTTCATTCATTCATTCATTTTCTTTTTGTCCAAGTCCCTTTATTAATCCGGGGTCGCCACAGCGTAATGAACTGCCAACTTTATCAGCATATGTTTTACGCAGCGGATGCCCTTCCAGCTGCAACCCATCACTGGGAAACACCCATACACACTCATTCTCACACACACACACACACATTACGGCCTACCCAATTCACCTATAGCGCATGTCTTGGACTGTGGGGCAAACCAAAGTACCCAGAGGAAACCCAAGCAACATGCAAACTCCAACGCCAACTGACCCAGCCAGGGCTCGAACCAGTGACCTTCTTGCTGTGGGGCGAACGTGCTACCCACTGCGCCACCATGCAGGCAATTTGGTTGTTTCGATTTGTGTTGAATGCTCTTGTCTATTGTGAGACTACAATGTGTTTGTTCGTGAACTCGTCCAGTAAACTGATACTCTTGAGAAACAGGTTGTAGAAATGAGCAAGTCGCGCGATATACATTTACAACAGCCTGATTTTCTTTTGTAGGTCACACTTTATTTTGATGGTCCATTTGTTGAATTTAAGTTACATTGCATCTACATGCCAACTAATTCTCATGAAATAATAAGTAGACTGTTAGGTTGGGGTTAGGGTTAGTGCTCCTAATTTTACAGTCTACTAAAACTCAAATAGACCATCAAAATAAAGTATTACCCTTTTGTATTACTTCATTAGGCTCAGGAGAGTGTGCTGTTTTGTTGATGTTTTGTTTTTTAGTTAGAGTAGTTTATTTAAGATGTTCGTTTAATACAGTTAGTGTGTTTTGTTATATTTCTTTCTTTGATTTAAGCACCTCTAAGTACCTTCTCTCCATCAGGTAAATTATCATTTATACATTGTAAAAAAAAAATTCTTTCACTGTACAGATATTTAAAAAAAAAAAAAAAGCAATTTTTGAAAAAAAAAAAAAAGAGTTTTTTGAAATTAATGTAAATTTATTAAGAATAAAAAAGCTGAAAAATCACGTACATCAGTATTCACAGCCTTTGCTCAATACTTTGTCGATGCACCTTTGGCAGCAATTACAGCCTCAAGTCTTTTTGAATATGATGCCACAAGCTTGGCACACCTGTCTTTGGGAATTTTTGCCCATTCCTCTTTGCAGTACCTCTCAAGCTCTATCAGGTTGGATGGTAAGCGACGGTGTACAGCCATTTTCAGATCTCTCCAGAGATGTTCAATGGGATTTAGGTCTGGGCTCTGGCTGGGCCACTCAAAGACATTCACAGAGTTGCTGTGAAGCCACTCCATTGATATTTTGGCATGTGTTTTGGGTCATTGTCCTGCTGGAAGATGAACTGTCGCCCTAGTCTGAGATCAAGAGCACTCTGAAGCAGGTTTTCATTCAGGATGTCTTTGTACATTACTGCATTCATCTTTCCCTCTATCCGACTACTCTTCCAGTTCCTGCTCCTGAAAAACATCCCCACAGCAAGATGCTGCCAACACCATGCTTCACTAAAGGGATATTACTAGCCTGGTGCCTGTTTTTTTTCCCAAACATAACGCCTGGCATTCACTCCAAAGAGTTCAATTTTAGTCTCATCAGAGCAGAGAATTTTGTTTCTTATGGTCTGAGAGTCAGATGCCTTTCGGCAAATTCCAGGCGGGGACTGGCTTCTGTCTGGCCACTCTACCATACAGGCCTGATTAGTGGATTGTTGCACAGATGGTTGTCCTTCAGTGAGGTTCTCCTCTCTCCAGAGAAGAACACTGGAGCTCAGACAGAGTGACCATCAGGTTATTGATCACCTCAATGACTAAGGCCCTTCATCCCCGATCACTCAGCTTAGATGGCCGGCCAGCTCTAGGAAGAATCCTAGTGGTTCCAAACATCTTCAACTTACGGATGACGGAGGCCACTGTGCTCATTGGAACTTTCAGAGCACCAGAAATCTGTCTGTGACCTTCCCCTGCCTTGTGCCTCGAGACAATCCTGTCTCGGAGGTCTACAGACAATTCCTTTGTCTACATGCTTAGTTTGTGCTTTGACACTTATATAAACAGGTGTGTTCATTTTCAAATCATGTCCAATCAACTGAATTTACCACAGGTGAACTCCAATTAAGCTGCTGAAACGTCTCATGAATGATCAGTGGAAACAGAATGTACCTGAGCTCAATTTAGAGCATTTGCTGTGAATACTTCTGTACATGTGATTTTGCAGCTTTTTTAAAAAAAAATTTGCAACAATTTCAAAAACTCTCTTTTCACATTGTCATTATGGGGTATTGTGTGTAGAATTATGAGGAAATAAATGAATTGAATCGATTTTGGAATTAGGCTGTAACACAAAAAAATGTGGAAAAAGTGAAGTGCTATATATACTTTCCGGATGCACTGTAAATATGGTATTTTCCCGTTTCTATGCATATATAATAAGCATTATTTAGTATATTTCAATGCGTAAATATTTTTTGTTATTTAATATATTTTGTTACGTCATCACGTATGTGTTATTTTTCCATTTCAATGCGTATATAATTAGTGTTATTTTGTATATTTCAATGCGTAAAGCGTTTGTGTTATTTTGTACTTCAATGTGTATATAATGCGTGTTTCATATAATTTCGTAAGTTTCAGCGCATATTTAATGTGCATAATAATAGGTGGATAGCAAAATAGCTAATAGAGGACTTGATTGTTTTTTTGACCCGGATGATACTACACACTGTAAAAAAAGACGTTTGTTGATGTTTAAACTACTTATTTAAAATAATCTGAAACAACACAATGTACATTTCTGAGGGGACAGCTTAATTGTTTTATGTTCAATCAACTTAAATCTGTAAAAACGAATAAGGTTTACTTAAAATCTTCAAGTTGTCCAGACATAAATCAATTGTGTGAAAGCCAGCAATTTTTACAGTCTACTCGAATAGTATGCAAATTCGGATATGGTAATGAGCATCTGCTTGAAACCAATCAAATCACACTGAGCCATCAATCCATCCAATCAGACTCTAGAAAAGGCGGGGTTTAGACAGATAAGATCCTTAAATAAACTATTTCAGACACTGTGAGAACAATGAGAAAAACTGAAGTGTTTTGACCTTGGATTCTATCGTAGGAGACCTCCAAAATAAAATTAGAACTATTAAAATAGCATAACAGAAAACAGCATATGTGCGTGTGTGTGTGTGTTGTTTGACTGAACTCACTGTAATGGTGTCTCTCCGGTGTGTGTTCGTCTGTGCACCTCTAAATGATTCTTGCGCTTGAAGGACTTGCCACACGTTTCACATATAAAATCCCGCACACCTGCATCAAACATAAAAATGGTTTTTGATTACTCGAATACATATATTTAGAATAAGCAACAAATGAAAACTAGATTATGTAATCATAAATATTATAATTTAAAATGATAACTAATCACACTCGTGGTAAGAAATATTTACTTAGCATATTGTAAATTTCACATTTAATAACCTGCTTAACATTTTACTTTTTCACATATTATAATTTTAATTAGCTAATTTTAATTATTACCAATAATAAAACAAAAATAAGAACAGCTTAGACACAAAAAAGCACATTATAAAATGTATAAGACTATAAACCATCATTAAACTGAAAAGGCTACTAAATAGCTGGAAGAAAAGCTATACTGCTTAACATTTCAGTTGTCAGCCATAATAAACCAAACTAAAAGTAAAGAAAATTAAATAGTTTTAAATTTGATTACTTGATTAAACAAACACAAAGTAATATGTGACATAAAATATTATACATTTTTTAAATAATAACTTTGTCTTATTATACTTGTAATTTTTGTAACACAATTCAGTCAAACGATCATTGCAAAATAAATTGTTAATTAAAAACATACACAGAAAAATGAACAAGTTTTACAGTCTATAACCAGCCTAAATATCTTAGTTTAATTAATGTATTCATTATGATTTATGATTATAGCTTTAATCAGCTTCCATTAATAAAAACTAAAATAAGAACACTTAAATAATACTTAATACTTTTAATACTTAAAAAAACACATTATAAAATGTGAAACTTACAATTAAATACTTAATTACATACAATATTATAAGCCATAATCATTCAATTGAAAATGCGATACTACTAAATATTTCATGCTAACATAAACTTTGCCATACATAATGATTTTTTAAAATAAAATATGATCGTTCCAAAGTAGGAAAACACACTTACACGGTAAAGAAAAAAAAGATGCGTCAAAATAAATAGATCACAAAACCACACATTCATTTAATAAAAATTGTCATTTCTTTTAAATAATTTTTTATTTAATTTAATATTTAGGTTTATATTTATTTTTTTCATTTAACTTAATTTATAATTTAATTTAGAATAATTTATATGAATATTTAATTAAGGTCAATTTAATAATTTATTTAAAAAATATTTAATTTATAATTTAATTTAAGATTTTATTTAATATTTTATTTAAAATGTAATGTCATTTAATTTAATTTATAATTTAATTTAATATTTTATTTAATATTTTATTTAAAATGTAATGTCATTTAATTTAATTTTTAATTTAATTTAAGATTTAATTTATAATTTAATTTAAATTGTAAATTTATATTGTTTAATATTTAAATTTAAGTTTATTTAATATTTAACTTTAAATTTTATTGAAGTTAATTTTATAATTTAATAAAAAATATTTGATTTATAATTTAATTGAATATTTAATTTAAGTTAATTTAATATAATTTACTTAAAATGTAATGTCATTTAATTTAAAATTTAATTAATTTTATTTTAATTCATCATTTAATTTTGTTTTTGTTTTTATTTAATATAATTTAAAATTTAAATTAATTCATAATTTAATTTCATTTAACTTAATTTAACCGTGGATGTACCTGAGTGTATGATCATATGTCGATGAAGATGGTTGGACAGATAAAACTTCTTCCCACAGCCTGGATGAGGACAGACTTTGGTTCGGCCTTTCCTGTGCACCAGATTCACATGATTCTGTCCAACACACAGAAGAAAAACAACATTCAAATGACCATTCACCCTATAGGCAGAAGCAGATCATTTAATTATTTCCTTCAAAAGAAAATCCCTAAACACACATATTTTCTTAACATATTTTTTCTTAAAAAGTGTGTGAAGCTCGTGCTCACTACATTTGTGCATGTGATTAAAGCCAATAATACTGTAAACAATAATAATTGCCTTGCACAGACTGATTGTTTGGCTTCATAAGACCTCAGTGTATAATCAGCAGTCATGGCTATTGATTTGAACTTGTTTTTATGTGTTTATATTTAATCTCAAACATAGGTAACCATTGACCTGCATTATAAGAATCACCAAGAAAAGCAGATTCAGCTAAAATCGTCTTTAATGTTCTACTGAAGAAAAGTCCCCTACATCATCAGTGGTCTATAAGGAGTAAATGAACTGTAGATTTCTTTTTTACATGAACTGTCCCTTTACTTGCATTATTAAAGGCCTAATGAAGTGCTTAAAAATATGCATTTTGATTTGATGTTTGAATAAATAAACACTTTTATATTGATTTATACAATATTATACAATTTCAAGGGGAAAGTACATAAACTTATCATGTAGAACTGTAATTAAATGATCTAAAACTGAAAAGTAATCCCTTCCTTTTTGTCAGTGAATAGGTATTACAGCAAATACTTACTTTGTAAACAATACCACCCAACACTGCCTGTAAACATGAGGTCATGGTTGTGTAATTTAGTTTCCAGTCACTCCTGTGTATTACTTCTAAATAAAATAATAAAAGAAATAGAAGTTCTGCTCAAATGAACTGAAATGAAGCCCTGTCAATATTTGTAGAACACCTTTATTTAACAAAGATAGTAGATTTTTGATAAAAATGAGCAATTGTTTGTTTCCAATTATATTTGAACTTGATATCCAAAGAGTAAACAATAAAGATATTATATTCACAGACTTATTTACAGTACAAGCTCATATAATACCAAGAGTGCCAATATTAGTGAGGGCCACTATAACATCAAAAGCATTAAAGCGGCAGTTTGTCCCAAACGGAAAATTCTGTCATCATTTACTCATCCTCCACTTGGTTTAACCCTTTGAGAGTTCTTTTTTTTCAGTTGAACACAAAAGAGGATATTTTGAAGAATGTTTGAAACTGGTAACTATTTACTTCCAGTGTTTGTTTTTCCTTCCAGTTTGCCCAAAACTGACAATTCCGTCATCATTTACTCATCTTCCACTTGTTAAACCCTCTAAGAGTCTCTATTTACAGTTGAAAACAAAAGAAGACATTTTGATCAATGTTTGAAACCAGTAACCATTGACTTCCACAGTGTTTGTTTTGTTTTCCCTAGTATGAAAGTCATGGGTTACAGTATTTCAACATTGTTCAATATATCGTTCTTTGTGTTCAACAAATAAAGGTTTGAGGGAGAATAAATAGTGATGTATTAAACTTGAAAAGGAGGATAGATATCTATTTAAGATATTATTGGCATCAAGTAAAAATTATAAGCCGCAAATGGTATAAAGAAGACCCACCAACTAAAGGCAAATGGTTCACAATAATGGAAGAAGGAAATGTAAAAAAAAAAAAATAAAAAAAGACACGCACACTTCAATTATAAAAAAAGATCTTTGAGAAAACAACAATATAACTATCCATGATTTAACATTTGCATAAATCTAGAGGTTTATTTTATTTATTTATTTTCTTGACGAGGTTAATTCCATATTTTTATGTATGTATATGTGTATACATGTGTGGAATGGAGATATAATAGTTTTAATAACTCATTTACTAATAAATTTATTAAGATTTATTTTATCTTTTCCATGATGACAGTAAATAGTATTTTACTAGATATTTTTCAAGACACTTCTATATACCCTAAAGTGACATTTAAAGGCTTAACTACGTTAATTTGGTTAACCAAGCAGGTTATTGTATAATGATGGTTGGATCTGTAGACTGGCGAAAAAATATAGCTTAAAGGGGCTAATAATATTGACCTTAAAATGGTTTTAAAAAATTAAAACTGCTTTTACTCTAGCCGAAATAAAACGAATATATATATACACACACACACACACACACATACATACATATAAATATATATACATACATATAAATATATATATATATATATATATATATATATATATATATATATATATATATATATATATATATATATATATACACATATACACACACACACACACACATACATATATATATAAAATCAATAAAAAACAAGAATAAAAATTATAATAATAATTCTGTGGGTAAATTTAATAATAATAATAATAATAATAAAAACAGCTGACTTACATTTTTAAATACATATGCATTTATCATCAACACATTTACTCAGATACGCTAAAAGTTAACTCATCCAATAAACAATTTTCAGATTAACATCCAAGCCCTTACAATACTTAACCAGCCCCATCCCAAGGCACATATTAGTTCCTGTTACTAAGGTTTAATAAACAATAAGAGTGTCTGCTTTGTGATGAACAATGAAATGGACCAAGCACCTGGCCGATCAGGTTTTAAATCGTGACATCATTTTCCAGCTTCTATTTTCAGCTGTTTGTGTGTGTCTTTGTGCTCACAGGGATTCTCCTCAGATGTGTATTGTAAACATGAGCTGACCTGGAAACTGCTGATGGCCACATACACCTGACTGCAGCCTTCATACGGGCAGTGAAACATCTTCAACATGCCGTCCGCCTCGATCACTGGACCCCGCCGGCTCCTCTTAGACCTAACAGACAACATTTATAAAGGACAATGAATATTTCCTCATTTACTCACACTCAAATGGTTTTAGTTTTATGAATGTCTTTCAATGGTTGAACACACACACACAAATCCGCATAGTGTCTAAAACTATGTGGAAATCTTGAGGCTTGAAAAAAAAAAAACAGCCATAGACTTTTATATTTAGTGTACGACCATAGTATTTTTTATTCCTACTATGGAAGTCAATAGAGCCGTCCACATACCATGTTTTTTGCAAGCACAAGTTTACTTCCAATTGATGTGCATGGCAAAAGAGTTATAAAACAGCATTTTTCATGCACACCTACTTCAAAACATCTCAACTTTTTAAAAGCTTTCAAAGCGAGTTTTAATTTCAACGCAAATTTGTGCTCAGGCTCCTGTGGCGTCTGTCATTGCTAGTCAACCATCAACCATTCTCTAAGAGGATGACCAACCATTGCTGCAGCTCTGAAACAAGTTTTATTAATGGAGAACATTAAAAAGCACCACAGTGTTTGGACGCTGTGCTTATCTGAAGTAATTAATATACACTACCTGACAATAGTCTTATTGCCTATTCAAGTTTCAGGAACAAGAAATAATAACCTGACTTCTAGTTGATCATTTGGTATCAGAAGTAGCTTATATGAAAGGCAAAGGCCTCTAGATTACGCTTATTTTACCAAACTAAAATTTGATCATGCATCAGACAGTAAGGTCTGACTTTGCTTAAACGAAAGTCTTGTCACTGTTGTTTAACTCCCATGAGCTTGGAGGACTGCATCCATACATCTCTGCAATGACTCAAATAATGTATTAATGAAGCCATCTGGAATGGCAAAGAAAGTGATCTTGCAGGACTCCCAGAGTTCATCAAGATTCTTTGGATTCATCTTCCATACCGCCTCCTTCATCTTACCCCAAACATGCTCAAAAATGGTCATGTCTGGTGACTGGGCTGGCCAATCCTGGAGCACCTTGACCTTCTTTGCTTTCAGGATCTTTGATGCGGAGGCTGAAGTATGAGAAGGAGCGCTATCCTGCTGAAGAATTTGCCCTCTGCTGTGGTTTGTAAATGTCATGATATCTCAGGCTGGTGATGTTGCCATCCACTCTGCAGATCTCTTGCACGCCCCCATACTGAATGTAACCCTAAACCATGATATTCCCTCACCAAACTTGATTGATTTGTGTCAGAATCTTGGCTCCATACAGGTCTTCTGCAGTATTTGTGGTGATTGGGATGCAGTTTGATAAATGATTCAGCAGAAAAATCTACCTTCTGCCACTTTTCCAAATGATCAACTAGAAGTCAAGTTATTATATGTTACTCTTAAAACTGGGATCGACGACAAGACTTTTCAGGTAGTCTATTGTTATGAATGTGTAATGAAATGTGTATATTTTATTAAAGTATGAAGCTGATTGGTTAGTTCTAGTCATATGACTCATAGTGAACTTGCGGCATTCTAAAAAGTTGAGATTTCAACTACGTGCGCCTGGAAAACACTAATTTTATAACTCTATTTTGCTACATGCCTTCATTGGAAATAAAGTCGTGCGCACAAGAAAATGTGACCCCATTGACCTCCATAGTAGGAATAAAGAAATACTATAGATTTCAATGGATGTTTTTTTTTCTTCGTTCATCATTCCATCAACTCTTCAATTTATCTTCCTTCACGTTCATCAGTAGAAAAAAAGCTCATACAGGTTTGAAACAAGTGAAGGATGAGTAAATAATGACAGAAATTTTTAGTTTTAAAGGTAGGTGGTACGGTGGCTCAGTGGTTAGCACTGTCACCTCACAGCAAGGTCACCGGTTCGAGTCTTGGCTGGGCCAGTTGGCGGTTCTGTGTGGAGTTTGCATGTTCTATCTGTGTTTTCCACCAGATGCTCCGGTTTCCCCCACAGTCCAAAGACATGTGGTATTGGTGAATTGAATAAACTAAATTGGCCATGGTGTATGTTTGTGAATATGAGAGTTTATGAGGTGGTTTCTTAGTACTGAGTTGCAGCTGAGATCGCCACATAGAGATCGCCACAGCGGAATGAACCGCCAACTATTCCAGCATATGTTTTACACTGAGGATTCACTAGGTGCATCCTCTGTGTAAAACATATGCTGGAATAGTTGGCGGTTCATTCCGCTGTGGCGATCTCTAAATTTCAAGCTGAAGCAAAATGAATGAATGAATATCTCTTTTAAAAAGGAGAAATAAGAATAAGATCACAATCACAGTTCTGCGGATGACTGAATTTACAAACATGGAAGCAGAAGCTCATTTCTATAATTATGATCAAACCAACCTGATAAAAGCTGCGCAAATGAACAGTAATGTGCCTGGTAAAGCTGTGTGTTTAAATAGCATCATGTTCTGACTTGTGTTGTCACGACTCCAAAATGATCACTTATGACGCAATGCAGATGCTGAATTCTACCACATTCCACAAAATAAAAACAAAGCAGAAGTGATTTATTAAAAGATGTCTTAACTTACACTGTGAAACCCAAAAAGTTAAGGTAAGTCAAACCCTTTAAGCAAACCGATTGCAACAAACCATTTAAGTTCAAAAACTAATCCTAATAAGTATTGTGAACTTAATCCATTTGAGTAAATGGAGCAATTTGAGCACATTAAAAGCCAATAAATGAAGAGAACTCAAACCAACTGAGTACTGTAAAACCCAATAAGTTAGGTCAACTCAAACCGTTTGAGGAAACGTATTGTTACAAACCATTTGAGGTAAACTAATCTATATGAGTACTGTGAACTTACTCCATTTAAGTTGAAGCAATGAGGTATTTAGTTAACTCATTACCTTCAACACTGAGTTCAAAACTCTTTTCACATGAGCATAATTAACCTTTAGTAAATCGAGTTAACTACACTTATTCAATTTGATCGTTGACTGTTGGGTTTTACAGTGTATAACTTATTTTGTCATAACACATAACTTATAGAATTTGCTTTATTTGTTCCACTGACACATGCTAATGAATCACATCCCAGAGTTTCGCCATCATAAGGTGTTATCTAATAACAGGAAAATCTGGTATGTTCTCTAAGACATAACGATAACGGTTAAGGCGGGTACACTCTCAGTACTCTTAATTCGAAGAATTTGAGTTGATACACTACTGATACATCACTGGTTTTTATTTGTTTGGCCTATTTTACAGTATGTGAACTTAATGTGAACTTAAGTGCTATAGACCATTTCAGTGTGGTGATGTCATCAGCCCATGAACATTTCCTGCATGTTATCAAACTATTTCTTAACAGTAACAAGAGGCAATTTAGCATAGCTAATTGCTTAATGTTAAAACATAACATTAAAAGTCATAACATTATTTATTAATATGTGGCTCTTTTTGGATTCTCAGAAGCTCTAGAAATGTTAAAATGTAAATCAGGAAATTCGGTAGGACTGTTGTTTTTGTTTACGTCCATCAAAATGGTCTACAAAACATAGCAATTATATGGGTTAAAGTTAAAAAAAGAGGTAGTTGAAAAGGATTAAAACACTAATCATGTTATCATTTACTAACACTCTACTTTTTCCAAACCTGTTTGGGAGTTATTGCCTTTGTAGAACACAAATGTTTTAAAGAATTATAGAAAATGGTAGCCATTAAATTCCACAGTACACTGTAAAAAGTGATTATTTACTTAAAGCAAGTAAAACCGTTGCCTTAAAAGTGACAATTTAGTTCATTTACTTAATGTGATGCAATGGTTTTACTTCACTTATTTAAGTCAGCTAAATATATAAATAAATATAAATAATTACAAACATTTTACAAACATCTTTGTGTTCAACAATAAAAGCATTTTAAAGTATCTAGATTTCTTTCACCCTGTCTTAATACACAATAAAAAATGAAAATAAAATAAATAAATAACTTGGGGTTATGGGTATGCACGCACGCACACACACACAAATAAATAAATTAATAAATTTGATTAATTATAATAATATAAAAAATAAAATAAAATAACAAAAAAATCTAAATAAAAAAATAATAAAATAAAGTTATCAAATAATAATAACAAAAAATAATATTAAAATAATAATAATAACAATTATAATAATAATAAAAATAAAAATAAAAAACAAAACAAAAAACAAACATAATAAAGCAAAACATTAAAATAAATAATAAAAAGTAATCAAATAATAATTATAATAAATAAATAATAAAAATAATAATAAAATAAAAAATATAAAATAAAATGAAAGCAAAATATATAAAATGAAAACAAAAAATAAAAATAAATAAAGTAAAATAAATAATAATAATAATAATAATAAATAAATAAATAAAAAATAAATAAATAAATAATAATAATAATAATAATAATAAAAAATGTAAAAATTTAAAATAAATTAAATTAAATAATAAAGCAAAACAATAAATAATAATAATAATAATAATATATATATATATGAAATAAAATAATTAAATAATTAAAAGAATTAAATTAAAATACTAAAACTAAAAAATCTAGATAGGTAAATAATAAAAAAGTAATTAAATAATAATAATAATAATAATAATAATAATAATAATAATAATAATAATAAATAATAATTAAAAATAATAATAATAATATTTGAAACGAGTGATGGAAGATTTTACGTTGCCTTTTGGACTATAATGGGAATAATAAGGGAAATAATGGGAAACAGTGTTACCAGATTGGGCGGTTTTGAATTCGATTGTGTGGGTAAAAAAAATTACAGGTGGGTTGTGAAAATTTGGGTGGTTTTGAAACGGCGCACCCCCCAGTTCCAGATCTCTTATCCCCTCGAGCCAAGGTGAAGATGCTGGACTTTAGCGCTGTGTACGGGTGTAGTAATGAGCAAACAAACAAAACAAAGCACAAAGACAGAACATTTCATGGGTAAGATTTAGTTCTTTTGTATGTTACAAACTTTTGTGCTAAACAAGTCACGTTATTGATGATAATACATTCTCTTACTGCATACACCGTAAGGCAAAGTAACGCCAACTTGTACTAAATTCTCGGCTTATGCTAGTTTTGTTGACTAAAATCAGCAAACAATGAAAAAGCCACAGTCCTCCACTGCACCTTGGTCCCACATTCATTTTAAATGAGCGCTACCCTGTACTAAAATGGCGACTCTATTGACGCATTCCTTCAAATAGGCAACAGCAAGGTAGGCGAAATCTAATGTAAATATCCATGCAGTTAGCCACTCAAACAACTTGATTTTCTTTTTTGCTTGTTTGTTTGTTTTTGAAGGCCAGAGTTTTTATTTCACATTATGATGGAAACCTGGCTAGGGTGATTACACCTGACAGTGAGCAAATGACCAATTTTGAGTGAACAATCACAGGGAGTGTGGTTTCAAACTCAGTTCCTGGAAGGCCACAGCCCAGCTGAGTTTAGATAATCGAGTCATTCTGGCTTATTTGAATACTACAAGGTATGTGTTGAAACTGGAATGTTCCATGAACTGAGAGAGTTTGACATCGCTTGCTTTAAGGGTGGGTTCGGGGTTAGTAGCTAGTTATTACACATTTATTAAAGCTACTATAAGTGTCACCAAATTCTTGAGATTTCTGAAACAACGATCTGCATTTATTTGATTAAAAATGTAATAAAAACAGCTATGTGAATTATTTTGAACAATTTAAATCAACTGTATTTTGAATATCTAGTAGAGGATCTCTCAACAGATTTTTAAACATAATAGTTTTAAAAATAATTCCTATTACAAAATAAATCCTATTTTGACAGTACATACAATTTGACTAGGTATTAAGCAAGTATTACTGGTATACTAGTATTCAGCGAAAAGTGCAAATTAAAGGCTTACCGAGCTTAATTAGGCTAACTACCAAGTTCAAGCCTGTCTAACTAGCCAGTAGAAATATATATATATATATATTTTGAAGTTGGATAATAATATTGACCTCGGGTTATGGTTATGTATACACAGACACAGACACACAGACACACAGACACACAGACACACACACACACACACACACACACACACACACACACACACACACACACACACACACAAATAATAAATAAATAAATAAATAAATAAATAAATTATTAAATAAATAATTACAATATTACAAAAAAAATATAAATAAAAAATAATAAAATAAATAAAATAATAATAATAATAAATAAATAAAACAAAAAATAAAATAAAACAAAAATGAATAATAACACAAGAAATATAAATAAATAATCAAATAATCAAATAATAATAATAACAATAATAAAAAAATTATAAAATAAAAAATAATAAAATAATAAAACAAAAACAACAACAATAATATTAATAATAATAATTCAATAAAATGATAAAACAAAAAATTTATAATATAAAATAAAAATATATAAAGTAAAATAAAAATTATAATAATAATACAATAATAAAAATAAAATAATAATTTAAATAAAATAAACAAAAAATAATAATAAAAATAAAATAATAATAATAAAATAATAAAACAAAAAATATATAAATAAAATAATAATAAATAAAACAAAAACTAATAATAAAACAAAAATATAAATAAATTAATAAATTATTAAACAAAAACAATAATAATAATAACAAAATAATAAAATAAAAAACATAATACAAAATAAAATAATAATAATAGTAATAATAATAATAATAAAATTAAATAATAAAACTAAACAAAAAATAAAAAATAATAAAAAAACATTAACAAAGAATAATAAAAGTAATAATTAAATAATAAATCAACAAAATGTAAAAAATAAAATACAAATAAATTAATGAATAAATTAAATGAATATATACACAAATATACAGTTGAAGTCAGAAATTATATTGAACAGAAAAAAAGAAATTTTCACAGTATGTGTGATAATATTTTTTCTTCTGAAGAAAGTCTTATTTGTTTTATTTCGGCTAGAATAAAAGCAGTTTTTAATTTTTAAAATGCCATTTTAAGGAAAAAAATTATTAGCCCCTTAAAGCTATATTTTTTCTCGATAGTCTACAGAACAAAACATCATTATACAATAACTTGCCTAATTACCTTAACCTGCCTAGTTAACCTACTTACCTAGTTAAGCCTTTAAATGTCACTTTAAGCTGTATAGAAGTGTCTTGAAAAATATCTAGTAAAATATTATTTACTGTCATCATGGTAAAAATGATGGGGAAAAAATAAGCAAGCAGTCTAATAATTCACACACACTCACACACATATATATGAAGAGTTCAGATGCAAAAACTTCTAAGTGCCATCTGAATATTCCATAGAAAATGATTTTTCATCTCAACCTCCTTTGCTTCTGTTGAGACATTTCACTTTAAAGAACAGGAAAAGGACTTATTCTTTGCCCTAATTTGATATTACTGACCATACACACAGGAGCCTTAAAAAATGCTCGTTTCAAAGTTTTTGCATCGGATATATATATATATATATATATATATATATATATATATATATATATATATATATATATATATATATATATATATAAATTTACTGTGACACTTTTTTTGTATTATTTTGTGTGATCCGTCAGAAAAAAGTATTTGTATAAATTTTATAACGTTATAAAATGTCTATACTTTTGAAAAAACTAACTGTATTGACCCCTCTCTTTTGTGAGGGGGAAAAAATAACTATTTATAAAAAAAATCCCAATAACGCAGACACATGATGTTTAATATGTGGTTGTGTCTACCGTGCCAAGATGTGACTGACCTACTGAGGGATCGCTGGAGCTCCTTCGCACAGTGCGTTTCTTCACTGGGCTCCAACAAATGCTTGTCACCCAGATCTGAAAGCATTAAACATCAACAGAGCCTCTTAAAACATTACCAGTTCAAAATCCCCAAAATAGCTTACTTTACTGGCATTGGTTAAACGGACACCAAACTCATAAGGAAGTAGTTGAAAGTGGTTAAAAAGTCTCCAGACACAGACACAGACACAGACACAGACACAGACACACACACACACACACACACACACACACACACACACACACACACACACACACACACACACACACACACACACACACACACAGTACAGTACAGTACAGTACACAATGAGTCATGTTGGAGAGCTGAAATACAGGATCTCAGTCAAACCTGTGCTGGCGTTGGGACGTGACGCAGCTCCAGACGGGCACATCTGATTATAGGACATGTCCCCAATCAGAGTACATGTGACCTCCTCGACGTCAGCGGCGCCCACATTCAGCTGAATGCCTTCAGACGTCAGAGCCTCGTAACTGGGGCCTGTAATTATGATCAGCTGGGAGAAGAATAGAGGACAGAAACAATGGACAATAAGTGATGTCATTCATGGTTAGGATTAAACGAAGTGCGGTTACACTTTACAATAAAGTTCCATATTAAATGGTTCGGTCATCACACGCATGACAAAATACTGTAGTCATATTATCATATTAGTACCTAATATTTTGTGATAATGCTGTTTATGCTGTGGTAATACAAGAACTATAGTAATATAAACAGAACAATTTGGGTACGTAACTATAGGGTATGTTATATTACAATACACAACCGTTTACTGTGGTAAAAATGAAAGAATACAACAGCATTTATTACAGATTATCAATTTACTATAGTTGATGCTGTGGCAATCATTAAAGTGTTGTAAACATCTATTTATACAGTAATTTATACAATAAACTACAATACACATTTACCGGCCACTTTATTAGGTACACCTGTCTAACTGCTCTTTAACGCATATTTCTAATCAGCCAATCACATGGCAGCAACTCAATACATTTAGGCATGTAGACATGGTCAAGACGATGATGACTTAAGTGACTTTGAAAGTATTTCGGAAACTGCTGATCTACTGGGATTTTCACGCACAACCATCCCTAGGCTTTACAGAGAATGGTCAGAAAACAAGAAAATATCCAGTGAGCGGCAGTTCTGTGGGCGCAAATCCCTTGTTGATGCCAAAGGTCAGAGGAGAATGGCCAGACTGGTTCCAGCTGATAGAAAGGCAACAGCAACTCAAATAACCACTCGTTACAACCGAGGTCTGCAGAAGAGCATCTCTGAACCACAACACGTCCTACCTTAAGGCGAATGAGCTACAGCAGCAGAAGCCACGAATGATTAAAGCAGTTCTGAGAGCAAAAGGGGGTCCAACCCGGTTCTAATAAGGTGTACCTAATAAAGTGGCTGGTGAGTGTATACACAGTACAGTATAATACACGTTACTACACAGTTCAAAAACACTATAGTATTTACTATGAAATGACTGCAATATATTTTCATGTGTGCATTTATTAACCTTTAATCACTTCACCTTTAATCACTTCACAAGTTTGCATGTATGGTGGAAACCAGTAACCACTGGCATCCACAGTATTTTTTATTCTAGTTACTGGTTTCCAACATTCTTCAAAATATCTTCCTTTGTGTTGAACATGAAACAAAGACACTGATAAAGGTCACCACTTGAGGGCGAGAAACTATTTTTTCATTCATTCATTTTCATTTGGTTTAGTCTCTTTATTTATCAGGAGTCGCCACAGCGGAATGAACCGCCAACTCATCCAGCATATGTTTTACACAGCGGATGCCCTTGCAGCTGTAACCCAGTACTAGAAAACATCTATACACACTCATTCAGACACAAACACTATGGCCAATTTAGCTTCTTTAGCGGAGGAAACCCACGCGAACACGGAGAACATGCAAACTCCACACAGAAATGCCAACTGACAAAATAAACAAAATAATCGCTTTTCCTGTTATGGTGCAGCCCTACTTTCAGCATACCTGAGATCCCTCCAGTGTGGAGCGCTAGTCCTGCAGCTCACATCCACCCATGACCGTCTGCAGATCCTGACCCTCAAACAGCTCGTTCTGTGCTGGGGCGGCCTCTAGCGATGGGACGACCTCTCTGGATGAACGCTTTCCATCATCCCTCTCCTTTCGGTCTGTCAAGGGCGCAGCGACCACCACACATTCATAACTCTGCGTCACCCCAGCTCCTCCACCTTCCGTCTTCTCTAAAGTCCTCGAACAGTCCATCTGCTGCTTTGCAGGATCGTTCCCTCCTGAGGTTCTCTCACTGGACTCAGCCTGGGATTCTGGGACCATGAGCGCCTCCATCTCCCACACAGGAGACGCTCCAGATGCAGGAGGACTGTGGGCCGCAGGGGATCCTGGGAGGTCATTGAGGGACGTGCAGGACATCTGATGCCCCATGTGGGACGCTGGGTCATCATCGTCTTCTTCTTCCAGTTCATTGCCTGCATCTGAAAGAGATTCATAGTTTCATCCTGCTCTATTTCGCACTGGTTAATTACATCTTGGCTATTTTTAAATTTACACAAATACAATTGAAGTCAAAATTATTAAGTTTGACAACTTTATTAATCCCGCAAGGGGTAATTCAATTAGGCAGTAGTATCATGAAACAACAAACACAAAGAGACAAATCACTTCCAGCATGCTTCATAATAACTTTATAAATAGTACTAAAACTAAAACATAAGGACCCATATATTAAATCTTTAAAACTTGCTAAAATCCTGGCCAAATCTGCCCACTGGCCTTCATCCATCATGGCCACCTAAACATCCCCATATTCAATTGGCTGCATCACTGTCTCCTCTCCACCAATCAGCTGGTGTGTGGTGTGCGGTCTGGCGCAAAATGGCTGCCGTCGCGTCAACCAGGTGGATGCTGCACACTGGTGGTGGATGAGGAGATCCCCCCCACTATGTAAAGCGCTTTGAGTGCCCAGAAAAGCGCTATATAAATGTAAGGAATTATTATTATTAATTATTATTATTATTAAAATGTATGGTTGTAAAACCTTTTTTGCCTCTGGTGAATTTATATCTGTTAGAAGCAGGGCCGGAGCAAGCTGAACTGCTGCTCTGGGCAAAGGACAATCACGCCGCCCTCAAACTAAAATTCAAAACGAAAGTTACCAGGTAGCAAAGTGAGGAAGGGGAGAAGTGGGGGGGTGGGGGGTTGGGGCTGTCGCGGATGAAATTGAAGACCGGGGGTTGGGTTGTGGTCGCGGACCCGCCCTCTCTATTCTCCCGCCAAGGCGCGGGTATAACTGCTGAGGACGTAGGTGGTGAGGGAGATGTCGCGCACGCTGCCCTCTCTATTCTGCCGCCCTAGGCAGCCGCCTAGGTCGCCTCTATGGACGCGCCGGCCCTGGTTAGAAGAGCATTTAATGCTTATAAATCTTCTTCCAGAGGACAATAGTACAAAAAAGGCTTGAGAGGATGGGAATCATCTCCTATTACACTTTGAGTTTTCCTAATCATTTGCTGTTCTTGTACAGTCACAGTGCATCCAGAAAGTATTCATAGCACTTCAATTGTTTCCAATTTGTTTTGTTACAGCCTTATTACAAAAAGGATTAAATTAATTTATTTCCTTAAAATTCTACACACAATACCCCATAATGACAATGTGAAAAAAAGAGGTTTTGAAAATGTTGCAAATTTATCAAGAATAAAAAACCTGAAAAATCCCATGTACACAGGCTTTGCCGTGAAGCTCTAAATTGAACTCGGGTACATTCTGTTTCCACTGATCATTCTTGAGATGTTTCAGCAGCTTAATTGGAGTTCACCTGTGGTCAATTCAGCTGATTGGACTTGATTTAAAAGGGCATACACCTGTCTATATAAGGTGCCAGGGTTGACAGTACATGTCAAAGCACAAACTAAGCATGTAGGCAAAGGAATTGTCTGTAGACATCAGAGACAGGATTGTCTCGAGGCACAAGGCTGAAGAAGGTTACCAGACAGATTTTTTGGTGCTCTGAAAGTTCCAATAAGCAAAGTGGCCTCCATCATCCGTTAGTGGAAGATGTTTGGAACCACCAGGACTCTTCCTAGAGCTGGCCGGCCATCTAAGCTGAGTGATCGGGGAGAAGTGCCTTAGTCATTGAGGTGATCAATAACCTGATGGTCACCCTGTCTAAGCTCCAGTGTTCTTCTCTGGAGAGAGGAGAACCTCACTGAAGGACAACCATCTGTGCAACAATCCACCAATCAGGCCTGTATGGTAGAGTGGCCAGACACTCCCCTCATAGAATTTGCCGAAAGGCATCTGAAGGACTCTCAGACCATAAGAAACAAAATTTTCTGCTCTGATGAGACAAAATTTTAACTCTTTGGAGTGAATGCCAGGCATTACGTTTGGAAAACCAGGCACCATCCATCCGAGCCCAGACCTAAGTCCTATTGAACATCTCTGGAGAGATCAGAAAATACACACAGACACACACACAGACAGACACACAGACAGACACACAGACAGACAGACACAGACACAGACACAGACACACACACACACACACACACACACACACACACACACACACACACACACACACACACACACACACACACACACACACACACACACACATATATATATATATATATATATTTTTTTTTTTTATTTGAAAAGAAGAGATTTTATTTTAATTTAGTAATTTAATAATATAATATTTAATAATATTATTTATAATTTATATTTTATTCTAATTGTATCAATAAAAATGCATTTTATAGTGTAACATTGCTTATAAACAGGACTGATAAACAAACTATATACAATAAACAAATAAAAGTTATAAACAAACTGATAAAATAAATAATATATTTAATATTTTTTTGTCACTAGTGTCTATAAGCCATGATCAATGAACACATGCGAATGTGTTATGCCTGTAATTCAATGTTATCCTATAATCTCAAAGGGTAAGCATTCTAGCAACAAAAGTATTAAATAAATGTTTGTTTGTCTCACATTTGACTATTTCATGGCAACATTAATAGACGAAAACACATTACATAATAAAACAACAACAAGATCATAATTCATTAAGAAATTATACAAAAAAACATTTTACATTAAAAACATTAGATATGACCTTCAACTCAATCTATGGTAAATAAAATTAACTATTCCCAGTAATACATGAAAAAACATCCTGAAGGTAATATTCCCATACCCTGCAGGTCTCGATGGTTTTGTATCCTCCTCTTCCTCTTGTTGTTGTTTCTCTCATTGATAACGGTTGTCTTCTTCTTCCTCTCTGTAACACTCTCCTCCTCCTCTTCTTTCTCCACAGCACTGTCCTCCACATCTGACTCTGACTCTCCCCCTGCAGGCCAGGGTAGGTACTGCACAAAGGAGTGACCAGCTGCACACTGCCATAAAGCAGACGTGGACAAACCCACAGTGGGCTCTACTTCCCGCAGCTCTGGCTCGTTAGGACACGACTGACAGTGACTCTGATACCAGCTCACCACATTCTCCAAACTAGTGGCAGACACTTTTTTCCCTGCGGAAACAACAGACAGACAAACACCAATGTCAAATACAGTCAGACTTTTAAATAGCAAACATGCATTATAATGATCAACAAGACATGTGGTAGCATTAAGGTCTGCACGATACTGGGAAACAAAATGTGGCAATGTTGAGAAGTATTGCAATAAGGATATTTCTTATGATATAACATTTCTTATAACATCAATAATTTAAGTAATAACATTTAAACAAACAGGGAAAGATATTCTTCAGATCTAGTTAATTCTAATTCTGACTTTAAAAAGCTGTGTCAAGTTGCAAACATTTAGTCTTTAAAACACAGAGTGAGTGAAAACCTCAGCAGATATTCTCACTGGCTTTTGGCATATTCGTCTCTAATCATTTGTGTTTATTTTCAGCTGTGTTGGCCTTTGTATCACTCCAGCCAATAGCAGAACAGCAACTATTGTAGAGGTGGGGATAAATATCGTACGGCCCCCTCTGATTAGTTGAATTTAGATTAAAAAACAAAGCATAAAATAAATGTCATTTATCACACATTTCGGCGATATGTATATCGCATGTCCTATTATAGCAAGAACGATAATTTTGTGATTATTTTGCGCAGCCCTTGTAGTATTATTTATGGTCATGGCACATTTGACATCATAACAGTCAAAATAAATATTTAATAAATAAAAAACTTTATAATATCAAAATTGCACATGGTATTTTTTATTGAATATGTAAAGACATGATTTATATTTACATTTACATTTAGTCATTTAGCAGACGCTTTTATCCAAAGCGACTTACAAATGAGGACAAGGAAGCAACTTACACAACTATAAGAGCAACAATGAATAAGTGCTATAGGCAAGTTTCAGGTCTGTAAAGTCTAAGAAGGAAAGTATTAGTAATTTATTTTATTTATTTATTTTTATTTTTTTTGGGGTACAGTTAGTGTGATATCCAGAGAGGCAATTGCAGATTAGGAAGTGAAGTGGAGACTAAATAGTTGAGTTTTTAGTCGTTTCTTGAAAATAGCGAGTGACTCTGCTGTTCTGATGCAGTTAGGGAGTTCATTCCACCAACTGGGCAGATTGAGCGTGAGCGTGAGCGAAAGTGATTTCTTTCCTCTTTGGGAAGGAACCACGAGGCGACGTTCATTCACAAAACGCAAGTTTCTGGAGGGCACATAGATCTGCAGAAGTGAGAGCAGATAAGAAGGAGCAAAGCCAGAAGTCACTTTGTAGGAAAACATCAGAGCTTTGAATTTGATGCGAGCAGCAACTGGCAGCCAGTGCAAACGGACTAGCAGCGGAATATTTCATATAAAAGCTATTCAAATAAAAGTTATTTCAAATAAAAGATATTCATTTCGACTTTCTATTCAATGAATCCTGCAAAAAAACTGCATAGTTGCCTGAGAAATAATAGCAGTACAGCTGTTTTCAACTTTAATAATAATAATAAGAAGAAGAAGAAGAAAAAGAAGAAGAAGAAGAAGAAGAAGAAGAAGAAGAAGAAGAAATGTTTCTTGAGCAGCAAAATAATCATATTAATTTTTTTTCTGAAGGATTATGTGAGATTAAAGATTTAGATTGTATAAATATTTATTTATTTATTTTTATTAATTGTTAACAAAACATTCAGGCTAAAAAAACTATATAATGAAACATCAATTCAAATACCCCCACCCCCCTCCCCTGCGGTCTCTTGAAATTGGGGTATCCAATGAATAGAAATTAACATAAACACAAAAACTGAATACAGTATCAAATATCAAAATTTCTTTCTTTTTTTTAAATAAACAGTTATTTTAAATTGTAGTAACAGTTCACAATATTACTGGTTTTACTGTATTTGGTCAAATAAATATATATATACCTTTTTAAACATAAAAAACGTAATACTACCAAGCTTAATCTTCAATACTTTATATTGACAAACATACTTTTGAATAAATGATAAGTTAATGCACAAATATAGCTCACCTTTTCTGTGAGTGCTGTACTGTTCATGAAGAGGTTTCCTCCTGTACACAACAGCAACATGCAACATATTACACCATTCGTCAAAAGGGAATCAAAGAAACAAACAAAAATATATATAGGAATAGTTGTGAAAAATAATGTACAGTTAGTTGACACATTGAGGATGGTGACTTTTTTCTGGATGGATGAAATTTTTAATAAAAAAGGTAAACATTGACAGACACTATATGATCCACTAAGGGCCACAGATTAAGCTCAAAATCATTAATATTCTACGGAAGAAAAAGTCACCTACAACTTGGATAAACTTAGGGTGAGTAAATTAACATCAAATTGTCATTATTGTGTGAACTTTCCCTATAAGGCCAAAGGGTATGAAAAAATACTAATTATCTTTAAATATATAATATAAATACATAGACAAAATGAAAGTAGAAGTGGACGTGTTCAATACTTATTTCCCCCATTGTATATTAAACATTCAATGGACACTTTGTTAGGTACGCCTAACTAGTACTTGGTTTTTGGTCTTTAGAGCTGTCTTACAGTGATAGTTCACCTAAAAATAAAAATTATGTAATTTACTCACCCTTTACTTGTTTCAAACCTTTATAAATGTCTTTCTTGTGTTAAAAATGCACACACACATACACAAATATTTCACAGTTAATGATTACAGGTTTTTAGCTTTCTTCAAACTACCTACTTAAGTCGTCAACAAAAAAAAAGAATCTCATAAAGATTTAGGATAACTTGAAAGCGAGTAAACAGTGAGCAAATTTTCATTTTTGGGTGAACCATCCCTTTAATGTCTTATTCAACAAGATTTTGGAAACAACAGTTAAAGTCAGAATTATTCGCCCCCCTTTTAATTTTGTTTTCTTTTTAAAATATTTCCCAAATGATGTTTCACAGAGGAATTAAATTTTCACTGTATGTCTGATAACATTTAATCTTCTGGAGAAAATCTTATTTGTTTTATTTTGGCTAGAATAAAAGCAGTTTTTATTTAAAAAAAAAACATTTAATTCAAAATTATTAGCCCCTTTAAGCTATATTTTTAGATAATCTACAGAACAAACCATTGTTATACCTATTTACCCTAACCTGCCTAGTTAACCTAATTAACCTAGTTAAGCCTTTAAATGTCACTTTAAGCTGTATAGAAAAGTCTTGAAAATATCTAGTCAAATATTATTTACTGTCATCATGGCAGAGATAAAATAAATCAGTTATTAGAAATGAGTTATTATGTTTATAAATGTGTAGAAAAAAATATTCTCTCTATTAAACAGAAATTGGGGGAAAAAAATAAACAGGGGGGCTAATAATTCTGACTTCAACTCTAGGCTAGTCGCTATAGATTTGCTGCTTAGTAATGATTTCAATTTCCTGTTTCAGCACAGCCCAAAGCTGCTGTACTGGACTGAGATCAGAAGTATAATGTGAACTCGCAGTCATGCTGAAGAAACCAATTTGAGAAGATTTGAGCTCTGAGACGTGGCTTGTTATCCGACTGGAAGCAGACGTCGCAAAATGAACACGCAGTTGTGTCAAAAGGATGGACATGATCACCAACAATAATCAGAGCAGAGTTTAAACCCCTTTGACATTACTGTGTGTTCATTCTGTGATGTCTAATTCCAGCTGAATATCAAACCACGTCTCAAAACTCAAATCTTCCAAAACTGGTTGACAGCGAGTTCAATTTAAAGCTCATTTGGTACTAAAGGGACAGAAATGTGCCAAGAAAAAAATCCATTACACCAACAGCAGCCTGAACCACTGATATAAGGAACGAAGCCGAATATGAATCAATGAATTATTTGCAAATTATAAACAGGGAAATCATATTATGTCAATGTCAATTTTATTTATATAGCACTATTATACACAACCAAAGGTTGACCAATGTGCTGAACAACACAAATCACAAAGAACAAGTATAAAATTATAGCTAAAACAAACAATTCGCACTAATAGTTATTATAGCTAAAAGCAAACAAATCTCACTGATAGCTATTAAAGCTAAAAACAAACAATTCTGGCACTGATAAAATGCCAAATCAAAAAGATAAGTTTTCAACCTACGCAGCTTCAAAAATTCGTTTCAAACAGGAAGTAAGAATTTGCTTGAAATAACACAAAAACAACCAATTTACACTTTTTAGTGAAATATAGGTGTCCTAATAGTGTTTATAGCAGTGTGGGACACATATACGACTGTCAACAGCTCAAAAAATGTGTTTTGGTGTTTCGGGACCCTTTAAAAACAAACAGAGATGATATAGACCTAATACAGAGGGCCAGAGCATTCCACAAAGTAGGTCCAGCTACTGCGAAAACCCGGTCACCCCTGCATTTTAGCCTCGACTTTGGAATGTATAATAGTCTCTGGTTAGATGACCCAAGAGACTGACCAGGCTGATGTTGCATTTCAGTGTTTGAACTCTCAGTAATGATTTTAAATCACACTGAACTGAGCTAAACTGAACTGAACTTAAACACTAAAAACTGAACTACACTGTTCCAGTTACTATGACCAATTATGTGAAGCTGCTTTGACACAATCTACATTGTAAAAGCGCTATACAAATAAACCTGAATTGAATTGAATTGAATGTTCAGTCTACAGATCTGACAGCTAGGAAGGAGCCAGGCCATTTAGAGATTTAAAAACCAGGAGAAGAATTTTAAAAGTGACACGATAGTGCACAGGCAACCAGTGCAGAAAACAGGTGTAATGTGGTCATATTTTTGGTGCTGGATCAAAGCCTTGCAGCAGCATTTTGAACTAGCTGTGGGCGGGATAGAGTTGTCTCACTGATCCCAAAATATAGTGCATTACAGTATTCCAGTCTTGAAGTCATAAAAGCATGAATTATTTTTTCTAGGTAAAATAGGTTTGACTGTTTTTAAAAGTCGAAGCTGAAAAAAGCAGGATTTGACCACTGCGTTAATCTGTTTATCAAATCTTAAAGGGCACCTAGGTTACCCCTTTTTTCAGATTTAATATAAGTCTTTTGCGTCTCTAGAATGTGTATATAAAGTTTCAGATCAAAATACCCATCAGATTTTTCATTATACCTTTTACAAGATGCTGTTTTATACTGATTTCCAGCAGGGGGTGGTTTTGTCGTACTGCGCCTTTAAGACGAGTTCTGCCCGCCTACTGTTTCAACATGCCTCCTCCCTCAGCTGCGTCAGAGAACAGACAGACTTAAGGGAAGAAGGTCTCACGTAGCGTTTGTGAGATACTACAGTAAGAACTAACCTTTACTAATCAGTATTGTGAAGTTGCATTGATGAGTCACACACAATATCGTTACAAAGTTAACGCGCGCACACACACACACACACACACACACACACAGATACACACGCAGGCAGGCAGGCAGGCAGACAGACAGAGCGCGCTTAGCTTAGTTAAGGCTGACCTCAAGTACTGTGTTGATATCTGTTATGCTAATGTACAAAATAAACCTGATTTAACTTCCACAAACCGGGATTGAAGCGTCTTCTTTTATAATTGTTCTGACACGCGGCTGTGCTGATGAAGTAAAGCTGAAGTAAAACGCTGTAATTAATTACACACATACTCTGTTTTAAAACACTTTAAACATGTGAAACTTACTCTTAATCACATTTGATGATGATTGCTGATCCTAGCGAACAGAACAGACCTTTTATTCCCGGTTGCTTTGCGTATGTCTGCCTGGTCTTGTTGACATATACACGTGACTACCGGAACATGTTAATGCGCGCAGCTGTCAATCAATTCGGTGGGCGGGGGGATCGCACACCTACGTAATGGTGCGATCGATTTGAAAACAGCTCCAATTGGCCGACCCTTTTTTTTGTAGTTAAATTGAAAAAAAAGGACTGGGTGTGTTCATATCACCCCAGTATGACGGTCTATACACTATACCAACACACAGATCTGTCCAAACAGCTTGAAAAGTAGATTTTTTACCATAGGTGCCCTTTAAGCCATCATCAAAGATAACACCCAGATTTTTTACACAAGACTTCACAGACAAACCTAATTCACCAAGATCAGCTGGTGATGTCCTCGAAGAATTTGACGAGCCGAACAAAATTGTTTCAGTTTTGCTCTCATTAAAATCTAGAAAGTTCAAAGATGACCAGGCTTTCACGTCCGACGGGCAAAACATAAGAGTCTCCAGTCCACTTGAACTCGGTTTTAAAGGCAGGTAAATTTGAGTGTCATCTACATAACAGTGGAAGGACAGACCATGTTTTCTAAAAGTAGAACCCAGGGGAAGCATATATAAGGAAAAAAGAATAGGGGCTAAAATAGATCCCTGGGGAACACCACATGACAAAAAGGCTGCCTCAGAAGAAGGTTCACCAATGGTGACATTGAAACTGCGATTGGAAAGATAAGACTTAAACCAATCCAGGGCACTTCCTTTTATCCCTACACAATGCTCCAAACGGGCCAGCAAAATAGCATGGTCTACTGTGTCAAACACAGCACTCAGATCTAGGAGCACAAATTAGCAGCCAATGACTGTCAAAGTACATTGTTTACAGTGAAAAATAGTGCTAATGCTGTTTTGAAGTCATGCTTACATGTGATTTCAGACAGAATATTCAAAGTAACATGGTAAACAATATAGGGAGCGTGTTGCAAGTTGTCACTGAACGAATGTGTGATTATAAACCCAACCTTACCTCAATATAGTTGTGCACACATCAGTCATGTTGAACAGGACCGTGCAATGACACAATTAGCCATCATTCACATGCATGATGAAATAGGGTGTTTACATGTCATCGATAAAGTCTGAACCATGGTTAATGTGTGGTCATTTACTAAAGCATGTCTTGTGTGTGTTATTTGTGGTGAAAAAACAACTGGTTAATTGTCATTAGTGTAAAGCAAAAATGTAATCCCCTGCAGCATAATTAACCAAACCATAACAACTAAACAAACCATGGATAATTTCTGGTTATCTACAAAATCATGTTTTGTGTGTGTGTGTGTGTGTGGTATTTGTAGTAAAACACATGGTTTATTATTAGGGTAACATTAGGGTATAGGGCTGCATGATATTGGACAAATACTGACATTGTGATATTTAGTTTGTCTGCGACAGAGATTGCGATATGAATGTAATTTCACAAGAAGTTGACTTCTAACTCTATTTGGAACGAATTCATTATTTTACACTGGGATTATTTTGTCGAGGAGTATCTGCATAAAATACAATACAATTAAACAGATGCAAATTAATTGGATGATTTCGGTGTAATTAACAGTTGCAGAAATGTATTAATAATATATAAAATAAGACCGTATAGTGTACAGTCTTCATAGTATAAATAATTAAATACAAGTCATTTTAGTATAAATACCAGTATAACCTCTTGGTTTAAGTTTGCTTGAATCTTACACAGTCGCAGCTCTTAAAAACACATCCAAATGAAAATCTTTTACTCTATTTAAGGGTCAAACTAAAAATACTTAAAACAATATTGCCTACAATCATTTACCACCAACAGTCAATCTACGTGTACACCTATTTATTGTCTTATACGCATTACTGTCAACACTGACATTTGTATATTGTCTTGTTTTTTGGTAGTATGTTGTTGTATTTTGCACTGTCTGGAGCCAGCAGCACTGAAGCTTTTCGCTTATCATAACACACGCGCTGCTGAAGATGTGACAATAAAAGTGATTTGATTTGAAACTTTGCGATGACCCGAAAAATCAGATGTTCTGAACTGTGGTGCTGATTAACTATAATCCCCACTTGACATTGCTGATCCTGCTATGTGACTATTGTAGATTCACACATTGCGATATTGATGCTAAAGCAATATATTCTGCAGCCCTATTAGGGTATATAAAAAAAGTTATCAACGGCAGGATCAAGTTCCCAAATAACAATTGCAAGAAGTAAAATTAATTCTTTGTGGTATTAAACACATCATCCACACATGAATCAGTTGATCTGAACCGCAATTTCGAGGTAAAGATGATTTTATATTCATATTACATTCATAACTTTCTCCTTAATAATATAATATCAGAAAAGTACTATTTGCAAATTATAAATAGGAAAATCTTATTATGCTAATGACGGTCAAAGTACAACATCGTTTCAAAAATAGTGCTAATGCTGTTTTGAAGTCATGATTACATGTGATTTCAGACAGAATATTCAAAGTACCATGGTGAACAATATAGGGAGCGTGTTGCAAGTTGTCACTGAACGAATGTGTGATTATAAACCCCACTTTACCTCAATATAGTTGTGCACACATCGGTCCACACATGCATCAGTTGAACAGGACCGTGCAATGTCACATTCAGCCATCACTGCACGGTTATTCTGACACATGCATGATCAAATAGGGTGTTTACATGTCATTGATAAAGTCTGAACACAAACCTGACGTATTTCTGCCGGTATTTCTCTCCGTATGCAGAATTGAGCAGGATTAAATACTTTGCGAGTCCTGCGTCGCTGAGGCTCGTGCGCCGGCGCAACTCGCTCCAGACCTGATGCGCTTCTCCCAGATAAACCCGCCGAACGTCGTACTTTTTCCGCGATTCAAGCCTCCGCTGAGCGCGGTCCGCGTCTGTCAACCTCGGTCGGCCCCTGCAGCGGCGTAAAATGGCTTTAATTTGCTCTCCGGTGGCTCTGGAGTCTGTGTTTACCGCCGCCATGTTTCGCGTCAGCTGTTGGGTTGTTGTGTTTTGTATTAAAGGGAAGTGCGCTGTCACTGTGTGTCCTTAAAGGAAGTGGATTTCTTTTTAATTATTACTATTTTATATTATAATTTTTTTATTGTTTATGCTATATTGCATTGCTGTTACACGATTAATGCGTAAAATATACGCTAAAAATTGTATTTTCTCAATTAAGACGTGGATATTTTTAAATATATATGAACTGACATTTTGACTTAACCAATCAACGGTGAGCTCTGTATTATGATAGCCAATCAGATCTGTCGTTCCAACAGCACGGCAGTTGACGTCAGTTTCGCGGGAGAAAAAAGACTGTAGTGAGTTGTCTTCTTACGATTATGCTGTGGATGTTAAAAGTCGTACTGTGCGTACATTAAACTAATAATCAGTGTGTTATGGCTGATATTCTAGGAGTCGTTTTCAGACGGTTCGCGTCAAGAACGCGAGATTTAATATTTCCCTCTGATATAGAAGGCAACACGCTGGTGCTCGGGGATGTAAATATCAGCAGGTCTGTGCTGTTTCTGGCAGCGGTCACAGCTGCCACTGATTTGGGCCTCAAAGTGCTGTTTTTCACACAGGGTCCTTTTCAGTCTCTACCGGTGTCTCTGAGGGCTTCCGTGCCTGGACTCAAACTAGAGAGTCTCAAGGTAAAGTCAACTGTTTCTTTGAAGAGGGTCAAGATAACCTGTTAATGGTCCCTTGAAATTAAAATAAATTATTTTTAGATGTTCATATTAGTATGTTAGCCATACCCATGTCTATAATCTGGTGTGCTCAAAAACAGTGACAAAATTTATATTTACAAGATAAAAACATCCATCCAAAGCTTGCAGTTTGTCATTTCCGCCTAAAGGGATAAGCTACTTATTTTCCACGTCACCTCATACTTCAGTTTCTGATCAAATCTTTTGACCAATTATTAGATAGAATATTCCCGAACTGTCAAAAAGTTTTAAAAGATGATTAATGTCTCTATTAAACCAATTTACTAAGAATAGAGATTTATTTGAAGAGGTTATATTTCCATTAGTCCAAATGCATCAATTATTATGCCACTTTTTTTTGAATCCCCTGTCAATTCTTAAAATCATTGGATGTAGAAATGCTGTACACCACAGGTGTCAAATCCGGTTCCTGGATAGCCACAGCTCTGCACAGTTTGGCTTTACCCTAATTAAACGCACCTGACCAAACTAATTGAGTCCATCGGCTTGTTTGAAACCTACAGGTAAGTGTTTTGAAGCAGGATTGGAACTAAACCAGGGATGGGCAAACTTGATCCTCGAGGGCCGGTGTCCCTGCAGAGTTTTGTTCCAACACTAGTCAAACACACCTGCTTATAGATATCTAGTGATCTTAAAGACATTGATTAGCATGTTCAGGTGTGTTTGATTAGTGTTGCAGCTAAACTGTGCTGGGCACCGGCCCTCCAGGACTGAGATTGCCCACTCCTGAACTAAACTGTGCAGAGCTGCGGCCCTCCAGGAACCGGATTTGACACCTGTGCTGTACACTATACTTTAAATATAATTAAATACTATACTTGTACTACACTATACTATAATTTATTTTAATTTATTTATCTTTGTTTTTTTGTTTGTTGTTGCCTTTTACCATTGTTGTTTTAGTTTTTTTTGTGTGTGTTTCATAATTTGTATTGTGTTGTATGTTTGTTCCTGACGGTTATGCAATTAAAAAAATAATAATAATACATTTTATGACCAATCAACTGCACTCTAGTATCTGACATGCCCTGCCCCCTTCAAGACGCTTCTCATTTGCTTTTCATTTGATGCATTTGAGCTCAACCATAAAAACAAAATGCTATTGGCTGTTTTTTTTTTTTTTAATTAAAGGGGATTAACATAACAAAGAGTAGTAAATCTGTCCAGAGTGAGTTGTTGAATTTTTGAAAATTTACAAAGCATTTTCCCAAAATAAATGTCAAAATAAGATTTGTCGCCAAAAAATCATTGCATTTGCTGAAATACAGAAAAAGTTGTGGCCAAAATAAGGCTCAAAATCACCCCAGGGGGAATAACAAAAATCCTCAACAGCACACAAGGGTTAAATGTCATTAGGGTAAAGCAAAAATGTAATCAACGGCAACATCAAATTAGCAAAGAACACTTGCAAGAAGGAAAAGATAAACTTTTTTTGTATTAAAAAAAACAGCTGTGCACACATCAGTCCACACGTGCACCAGTGGAAGTGAACTACAATGACATATTGAGCCAACACGTCAAGGTTATTTTGACAAATAAGGTGCTTGCATATCATTGATAAAGTCTGAACCATGGTTAATTTGTATTTTAAGGATGTCTATAATCTGGTGTGCTCAAATAGTGACAAAATTCATATGTAGAAGATATAAACATCCAAAGCTTGCAGTTTGTCACTTCCACCTGACTGGATTAACAGATTATTTTCCACGTCACCTCATACTTCAGTTTCTAATCAAATTTTCTGACCAATCAAATGCACTCATTTGCTTTTCATTTGAGCTTAACCATAAAAACAAAGTGCTATTGGCTGTTTTTTATTAAAGGGGAGGAGCTACTATATGCCATGCCCTCTCCTAATGTTTTATTTCCTTTAATGCTAAAAATCATTAGAACATGAAGTAAAGATCAAGTCCCATGAAGTTATTTAGTAAATTTCCTATCAGAATGTAATTTGTTGATTAGTATTGTGCATTGCTGAGCACATAATTTATTAATTATATGAATTAAAAAATGTTGGGGTGAACTAACCCTTTTTTAATTCTGTCTAAACACTTAGTAATGATGTTAAAGAATGCGGTTCTGCAATCAGTCTTAATGTCTAACTATATTACATTACTTAAATGTTGACTGTAAAACGCCCATTATAAATTTGGTTTCAGCAGCACCTTATTTGTGCGTCTCTGCTTTGCTGGCTTACAGAACGTGAGGTTTGTGTATGCGAAGACTCTGGAGGATCTTCTGGAGGACGTGGCGTCTCTTCATCAGCTGGCGTCTGAAGCCGCGTCTCTTCCGTCTTTGATTATAGTGGACGCTCTGGACCAGTATCTTCAAGCGGGACCTCAACAGGATGACCTGAGCCCCGTAGCACACATTGCAGCCCTCCTGCATGACACGGCAGCGTTTCTGACACAGATCCAGCAGAGCAGAGCAGGCGGACAGGGCCTGTGCAGAGTCATGCTGTCCTGTCAGGCAGAGGGTGAAGGCCGTGGGGAATCAGCGGAAATCCTCCTGTCTGTTCTGGACCGGTATCTCCAGGTAGACTTCTGGTAGTCTCACATTGTCTTGACATTATATCCGATCTGTCAGATTATGCAACCATTAGGGGTGTAATAATTCTTATCATGGTTTGGATTTCTTTTTTTTGTATTTATGTTCAGTAAAAAAGCACTGTTTGATAAAAATAAAGTTAAATACACTACAAAATAAATAAAATACAAAACTAAATGAATACAATATACTATAGCAAAGATAATACTGAAATGAACAGTGATTTCCAGGTTTTCCCATGTACCTAACAGTAGTTATCCGTTATATCAGGGGTTCCCAAACTTTTCAGCCTGTGACTCCCAAAATTACAATGCCAGTGGCTCACGACCCCCAATATCTTCTGAGGGGGTTATAAATGCAGAAACCTTGCATGCAATGGCGCACATACACCAATAGACTCAAGTCTATTCTTTGTTGAATTGAATTTTTTTAATGTATGTGAGTGCTGTAAATGCGCCAGAAAGTTTGACCTGATGTTATAAAATCAATTTGCGGCACCTGACGCTATTGCTGTGCCTTTAATATAATGTAATTACCCCAGGGGTCACCTCATACTTATATAACTAAACAAATATAAACAAATAACAATGCATACTGTATATAATCTACTGTATAAAGTAAATAAAGGTTAACCATTACAGAGCTATGTAGGTATTCAGTCAAGGGCAGAGTGTTTTCGTGATATCTAGAAATGGGACAATAACATATAAATCAAACAAAAAGTGCTTCAGGGGTAATTAATATGTCAGTGCTCTTTGGTTAAGGGATTTATAAACAAAAAAACAATGACATTTAAAGTCCAAGGCTCTCGAAAAGTAAAGGAACAAAATTTGAAAAGCCTTTATTAACATGGCTATTATGAAAAGACATAACGACACAAAAAACAGTGCCGTTTTTTTAAATAGTAGCCATGTTAATAGATTGTTTTAGATTGTTTTGCTTAATTTTCGAGTCTCTTAAAAGCATCAGGACTGTGGCTGCATGTTCATCACTATTTATCTAGTTTATTTGACAGAGAAACGATGGCAGTTGAGTTTCCAGAACCTGTTCCTGACACGGTTGCTTCACGATTCGAAGGCGCGCACGCGTTTTAAGCAGTCGCGCGCATCACATCAGCTGTTAGCACGAGTGATCATCATCCTCTCATTCGGTATTCATTTGCTTTCTTCTGCTCGCGTGATCACAATTATTTTACTTCTCGATATTTAAGATCACATTTGCACACATATTGGGCCATCCTTATATTGTCGAACCCTGCTTTTAGGAAAACTACAATTTAAATATTATTTTCAACCAGCCAAGTGGCTAGTGGAGGTGTCTGTCTTACCCGCCAAAGTGTTAATGTAAAGCTCTGGATATATATATATACACACACACACACACACACACACACACACATCTTGTCGTCTATTCATGTATTAGATACAGCAAAATATAACTTGAATTGTAGGTGATCATTTGTTATCAGAAGTGGCTTATATAAAAGGCAAAGACTTCTAGACTACACATTTTACCATAATAAAGTATAATCATGCCTTGATTTTTAATTATTTAAATAAGACAGTAAGGTCTGACTTTGCTTAGACAAAAGTCTTTTTTTTACTCAACAGAAATAATGTGCAGTATAGAATATAAAGTCATGCTGCAGAGGAAGAAGAATGAATATTGTGTATGACTCCCATGAGCTTAAGGGACTGCATCCATCCGTCTCTGCAATGACTCAAATAACTTATTAATAAAGTCATCTAGAAATGGCAAAGAAAGCGTTCTTGCAGGACTCCCAGAGTTCATCAAGATTTTTTGGCTTCATCTTCAATGCCTCCTCCTTCATCTTACCCCAGACATGCTCAATATTGTTCATGTCTGGTGACTGGGCTGGCCAGTCCTGGAGCACCTTGACCTTCTTTGCTTTCAGGAATCTTGATGTGAGGGCTGAAGTATGAGAAGCATATCCTGCTGAAGAATTTGCCCTCTCCTGTTGTTTGTATTGTAATGGGCAGCACAAATGTCTTGATACCTCCCCCCCATACTTAATGTAAGTCCAACCCATGATTTTTCCTTCACCAAACTTGACTGATTCATCTGAAAAATCAACCTTCTGCCACTTTTCCAAACGATCTACTGGAAGTCAAATTATTATTTGTTGCTTTTACAACTGTGATCGACGACAAGACTTTTGTCAGGTAATATATATGTATATGTTTACATTATAAGTTAACAGTATATGTCTACCTGCAGGTAAGGTGCACACTGGAGGAGGTGACGGGACAGATGGGTCAGAGCGAGTGGCAAGTGTATCTGTCCTTCACGAGTCCTGCACCGGCTGTCCAGGGTCAGCAGTGGCACATGATGCTGCAGGCAAGCGGAGCTGTGGAGTTTCGTCCAGTCAGCGCTGGAGAACAAGCTATTCTAGAGCAAACACAACTGAGGGATGTGAAGAGGGAAAGTAAAGCATCATAGTCCAGAAATTCCCATTTTCAGGTTTTTGTTCAAAAGGACAAACTTGAATGATAAGAACATTAACTCATTGTTCTTGACTTAAAAAAAACAAAGAAGTTTATCAGTCAGCCATACACGCAGTGCAGAATACATGTACTGCATATACTGTTGGCAATGGGAAATGTACAGTTTAATGTTTAAAGTTTGCAGTATTGTAAAAAGTGTCAGCGTTTATGTTATAATTCAGCTGCAAGTTGTTTTTTTTAATATACAAGTTACAGACTTATTTATTTTTGATTGTGTTGTAGTTTCTAAAAGGCTTTGCATTATCATAAACTCCAAAAACACACAGAGAGAGAAATACTGTATACAGTGAAGACTAAATTAAACAATCTGAAATTTTGGCAACACTTTAGGTCAAAATTCATGTTAAAACTTAAATTGTGTGACTAATATCAAATATTTATATAAAAATTTATATTAGTTTTAGAAGTTTCTATCATTTATTTAAAAACACACACACACACACATATATATATATATATATATATATATATATATATATATATATATATATATATATATATATATATATATATATATATATGTATGTGTGTGTGTGTGTGTGTATGTATGTATATATATATTTTAAATATTTCCCAAATGTTGTTTGACAGAGCAAGGAAATTTTCACAGTATGTCTGATACTATTTTTTCTTCTAGAAAAATTCTTATTTATTTTATTTCGGCTAGAATAAAAGCAGTTTTGAATTTTTTAAAAACTATTTTTGGGACAAAATTATTAGCCCCTTTAAGCTATATTTTTTCGATAGTCTACAGAACAAACCATCGTTTTAGAATAACTTGCCTAATTACCCTAACCTGCCTAGTTAACCTAATTAACCTAGTTAATCCTTTAAATGCCACTTTAACACAAGATGTACAGAAGTGTCTTGAAAAATGTCAAGTAAAATATAATTTACTGTCATCATGACAAAGATAAAATAAATCAGTTATTAGAAATAGGTTATTAAAACTATTATGCTTAGAAATGTGCTGAAAAAATCTTCCCTCCATTAAACAGAAATTGGGGAAAAAAATTAACAGGGGAGCTCATAATTCTGACTTCAACTGTATATATATATATATATATATATATATATACTGTATATATACACATACACATAATATACATACATATATATATATATATATATATATATATATATATATATATATCATCCTTCTTTCTTGTCCTTGACTGATCACATGCCTGCTAAATAAGATATTAACTGTTCATTAGTAGTTATAAAGTATGATCTTATTCTACATCCCTAATCCTACCCAAAACCTAAACCCAGCTTCTACCTTACTAACTTTTAATAAACAGCTAATGAGTAGTTTTGTAAGCTAGTAGTGTTAGTTAAACTAAACTAAAGTGTTACCAAAATTTCCAAAATGTTGAGGTCTACTTAGTCATATTTGCAGGAAAAGAGCAGCTTTTAAGCAGGTTTGTTCTGAAGAAATTGAATAAAATACAAAAGAAAGTGAATAAGTTTTGACATATCCCTTCAATACATTTTAAGATGAAGAACAGAAAAGAAGTGTTCATTCATTCATTTTCCTTTGGCTTAGTGCATTATTTAACAGGGGACACTACAGTGGAATGAACCGCCAACTATTCCAGCATATGTTTTACGCAGCGGAAGCCCTTCCAGCCACAACCCAGTACTGGGAAACATGCACATACTCTCACATTCTCACACACACTCATACACTACGGCCAATTTACTCCATTCAGTTCACCTATAGCACATGTCTATGGACTGTGAAGGAAACCAGAGCACCTGGAGGAAACCCACGCCAACATGGGGAGAACATGCAAACTCCACACAGAAATGCCAACTTTTCCAGTCATGACTCGAAGCAACGGCCTTCATGATGTAAGGCGACAGTGTTAACCACTGAGCCACGTGACGCCCTAAAGAAAAGCATCTGAGAGTAAACATTTGTGCCATTTGTTTACAGAAATACATTTCCTTTTGATTCTAGAACAAAATAGGAGCTTTATTGCTGATAAAAAAGGACAAGAGTAAGAAAAAGGCTTTCAATCATGTTACAAATGTAAATCTGAAATAAAACAACACCAGACATGACTACATGTGAAGGGAATGTCACAGAAATTGCAATAATTACATCTTTTTTTTGCCATTTTTCTCTCATTTTTTATACTAAAGATTACAAATCCATCATAGTTTTACACTTTTGGTTTAACCTTAAAAATGACAGAACAAAAAACAAGAAATGCAATCAAACTAAACTACTGCTATGAAGAAAAAACAGACACTGGAGATTTCTGTACAGTAATTTGAGCAGATGTATATTACAAACCATAACGTCAACACTAAAACAAAATGAACGCAGTTTACTTTTAGAATAGGCCTGGCTTATTTTAAACAATTCATCAGTGCACATTATTCAATCAATATTTTACAATATATAAAAGTATATACATATAGAAAGGCTGTATATTTCAGTTAATCTCTTTGAGTTTCAGCTTTGGTGTGTTTGTTGGAGAAAGGGTGTAGTCTGCTATAATCTACAGAAACGCCCAATGATCTAATCAAGTCTCTCAGCTACACTTGCACATTGCCGTCTTATATACTTTACTATTTCAAACACTGATGAAAGTACATTGAGATGCAAATGTCAGCAATGTTTTTGCCGTCTGTTCTAAATCTACCATACGAGCATTCCCAGAATGCACCAGAACAGTTGTCCAAATGCAAACACAGCATCCGAGAGCATAAAAGCATGATCAGGATGGATGTGTTTCCTTCATTTATCTGAATTAACTGACCAACAAATAAGGTCTGATGGGTTTTTTTATCAGACTGACTTACTTTATGCTCGAACTTTACAGATCTGAAAGATTAAAAAACCACAAATCAGATTAGAAAACTGTTATTTACATTAAAAGTATATGTACAATTGTACAATCTACATGAGAGATTTGGGAAAAGTCTAAACAGAAGGAGATTAGGTACTTTCCACAAAGAGGGTTAAATGTGTTTGTTGTTGTTGTTGAGATTAAAGTGGTAAAAGTCCAACTCAGTAGAACAAAATAAATATTATAAAATTATTAAGTATTTATTATATCACTTTTATTTAAATATTTATTTCTTGTATTTACTTAAATAAACTTCAGTACAGCTTAAACAATCTAAAAACATCTAAAACAAAACCGTAGCTTGTTTGATAATTACTGTTTTGTTTTTAAGTGTCCAAGAAGTGATCAAAATATTATTGTTTAGTTTTAATTGTCCAAAAAGTGATCAAATTATTATTGTTTAGTTTTAATTGTCCAAGAAGTGATCAAATTATTATTGTTTAGTTTTAATTGTCCAAGAAGTGATCAAATTATTATTGTTTAGTTTTAATTGTCCAAGAAGTGATCAAATTATTATTGTTTAGTTTTAATTGTCCAAGAAGTGATCAAATTATTATTGTTTAGTTTTAATTGTCCAAGAAGTGATCAAATTATTATTGTTTTGTTTTTAAGTGTCCAAGAAGTGATCAGATTATTATTGTTTTGTTTTTAAGTGTCCAAGAAGTGATCAGATTATTATTGTTTTGTTTTAATTGTCCAAAAAGTGATCAGATTATTATTGTTTAGTTTTAATTTTCTAAAAAGTGATCAAATGATTACTGTTTTGTTTTTAAGTGTCCAAAAATATTTAAAAAATTGTGCCATAAATACAGATATCTTCTTTACAAATTGAAAGATCATTGCATCAACTCATTTCAAATGAACGTCAGTATCATGACAAATTCAATTTGTATGATTAAGTTATTCAGAATACAGATATGTGATGCATTTTGAAATGCTCTGTAGATTTATTTCCATTTCGAACCGGCTAAATTAATATTTATTTTAAGTGTATATGGATGAGTAAATATGTTTGTTGATTATGATGAAATGTATTTTGGTTGAAGGATTGCTATAAAAGTGTTTAACGTGATATTCAAATCAAATCAAACAATATGACTTAATTTATCATTTATCAATTACTTATGATTAAAAAGTGAACCCTATTTGTGGAAAGTGCCACAAGTTAATGTATTTATAATAAAAGACAATAACATCTAACAAAATAAAAAAAGGAAAGTCTCCATTGGCTTTTAGGTGACACGTTATATATACACTGTACAAAAGAAAATGTTTTCGTCAACAGCTGCCATATTAATGCCATTACATTAGCTTATTCAATCTGATGGAGGGTGTTGGTTCTCCTGAAAGATCCTAGTGTTTTTCTCCTTAAAGGGTAAATAATTCACACAAACATGAAAATCACCCCATAATTTATTCATCCTCAAGCCATCCTCAGTGTGTATGACTTTCTTCTGTCAGATGAACACAGTAGTTTTAAATTTTTTTCCATGCTATATAATAGTATATTAGGTATAATAGTTTTAGTTAGTTTAAAGCTTCCAAAAGTGCATGAATCCATCATCAAACTAACCCATATGCCACCAGGGGGTTACCACATGTCTTATAAAGCAGACGCATGTGTTTTTGTAACATAAATATATATAATTTTAAAATAATAACTCTAAATCATTGACGTTCGCTGCGACCGACTGCACATGCGCGACTGATGTATATGACTTATAACACATGAGATAAGACACATTCGTAGCAGAAGCTTCAGGAATAGACTTGTCTCATGGGACCCACGACTGATGTGAACGCAGCATAAGAATTCTCAAATTTGTTGTGTCACTCGACACGCCAACGGTTGCTGTCGCTCGCGTAGACGGAGGTCACCAGAAGTTGCTCGCTCTCTATTGAAATGACCGGTTGCTTGTAGCTTTGGCATAGCGAGTCACTTGTAGTATCAACACAGCTTAAATTTGGGCTTTCCATACATTCGTCTGACATAAAAAAAAAAACGTCATATACACAAAGAATAGCTTGAGAGTGAGAAAACTATGGAGAAATTTTCATGTTTTTGTGTGAACCATTCCTTTAAACCTCATGTTTTGAACAACGTGTCAGTATCCAGACTGGACTTGTTGAGCAGAGAACGGCCACTTGTATCCAAAGATCTCGTTTTTGTATTCGTTGGCGTAAAAGCTGCGTTTCCCGATCTCGATGATCCGGCTGGAGCTCATCGGACTGTAATCCATGGACACCCCGGAATCCGCCACCGCCATATAAGCGTATCCCGGCCCTTTCGGGGGCCATGGGTGGTTGGGATCCTCAAAGCTAGACTGCGAGGACAGCCGGCCTGACGCTGAGCTCTGCCGGAGCGAGCCCAAATCTGAGTGCGAGGCGTTTAGAGAGGACGTTCCTGCGCTGGTGAAAAGTGTTTGGAGCGGGAGCGTTTCCTCAAAAACATCGTCCTCCCGCTGACCACCAGAGCTGTGGTTTAAAGTGATGTAGGTGTCATGGGACTGCAGTAGTGTGGACCGAGAGAGGGACTCAGTGTTTTCTTGAAGCGCCCTCAGCTGCTCCATGAGCCAATGAGGAGGCTCTGTCAGCCCCGAGTCTGAACAATGGTCCTCGTCCCGCACAAGCTTCCTCTCGTCTAATGGGGACAGACTGACCTCGGATAACACCTCCAGCGGGGAAGGAAGCTCTTCGGTGTACATTTGGACTGATCTCGTCCACATGCTGCCGCTGTTCTGGCTCATCCACTCCTGAGGAAAACACAGCACTGAATGATGTCTGGTACACTGGAAAAAAGGTTACTAGTCCAAATATTGTTCACAGTGGTTCCCATGCTTACAGTACAGCTGAAGTAAGAATTAATAGCCACCCACCGCCCCCCCCAACCCAAAAAAATAACAATTCTAAACATAAGTTTTAATAACTCATTTCTAATAACTGGTTTATTTTATCATTGCCATGATGACAGAACATAATATTTTACTAGATATCTTTTCAAGAAACTAGTATTCAGCTTTAAGTGACATTTAAAGTCTTAACTAGGTTAATTAGGCAAGTTAGGGTAAATCAAGTCAAGTCATTGTATAACAGTTGTTTGTTTTGTAGAAAATTGAAAAAAAAATATTCCTCAAAAGAGCTAATAATATTGACCTTAAAATGGTCTTTAAAAAAAATAAGACTGCTTTTTGTAGCTGAAAAAAACAAATAAAAAAAACAAATATAATAGGAAATGCTGTGAAAAAAAATCCTAGCTCTGTTAAACATCATGTTGTTGTTTTTAACTACAGTTATTAGTAGAGAGAACCTCATTTAGTACAAACATAATTTACATGAGGTCACAAAAGTGAAAGTGAAAGGCATGCGTGTTTTGAATGGTGCCTCTTTAATTTGGTTATTTTTGGTTACTTTTATTTGGATATTAAAGGAATTGCAGCAACCACAGATGTCTGAAACTACAGTTAAGCCCGGCTCACAGTGTGAGATTTCAGCCACTATTTTGTCATCTGAGACAAATTTTGGATATCCTAAAAGATTCCTGAAATCCTATAGGCCAGTGGTTCTCAAACTTTTTTCATCAAGTACCACTTCATAAAAAAATTGTCTCTCCACGTACCAGTAAAATGAGCGATATTGAAATACAGTAGCTTAGTAGGCCCAGTAAAGCAGCTACAACTCTGCACAGTTTAAAAAACTTGGCAGATTACCTCAGAAACATAGGCTATATGTCATATGGCATATTATATACATCATTTTTGATGAATTTTGAAATGTGTGTAGCATGTACAAAAAATATTTCATTCTTCCCCGTACCACTAGAAGGAAGCCTGCGTACCACTAGTGGTACACGTACCACAGTTTGAGAACCACTGCTATAGGCTAAAATCTGTGATCTTTGATCATTGGTTTGGAATGCTCACTGACAGCCGCTTAGTACTTGTTGCGATCCGATTTTTCCTCCAATGAATTTCTGGCAGTGTCAGAAGATTTCAGACACTTTCCTGCAGTGTGACAACAGCTGCAATAAGCGTCCATCCAAGAACCAATAAGAGCTCCAAATTCAATTCATGCATGAATTCAAATGAGCGAAGGGAAATGTCAAATCAGTTTTTTTTTTCTTCCTGGATTTATTATTGAGACATGTCGTGTGCAAAATTGCCACTTCTCTCATCGCTACTTCAAACTTAAGCATCAGAAATGAATCTGATCTTTCAGAAATCAATCTGAATATGCCGATTTAATTATCAAGAAACATATTATTTATTATTTTTATTGTTTAAAACAGCTGATACTAAAAAATAAATGATTCTGCGATGAATAAAGACCAAATGAGCATTTATTTGAAATACATTTGCTCTGTACCTTTTTAAAACAATAAAAACTATCAATTGAATGCACCCCTGCTGAATACAATTATACAATTGTTCATTTCATTACAAGAAAACACAACAATTTGCCTAAATTCTTATCTGTGTATGTTTCTTTGTAAAGTATAAGTTACACTCTTAAATATTTAATAAGAAAACATTATAAATTACCTTAAAATCCCCTTTATAGACAGTAAAAAGACCCGGAAACTTGTGCTCTGGTGTTGGTATGTCAGGCCACAGTTTCTTCAGAAGAAACCTGTAAAGTAAACAATAGAGTTCTGCTCATTAAACTGCAAACACTAAACTCACAAGGTTAAACGTTTTCGGTAAAGTAATTTCAATGCATTTAACACATTTTCTTTGTTTAAAGTACATAATTAACCATGGCAACCTTGAAATAAGCATTTCAAAAAAACCACAACAAAATAAAATCCTGAATAATACATAAATGTTTCTCATCATTTATATAGCTATAAATGTGTGTTAGTGTGTGTGTGAAACTGACTTGTGGTGAGACAGAATCACAGTCATAGAGAGGAGACAGAGGATCAGTATGATGAAAACCACCAGCAGCACAATCAGCGGATCCATGCCTGTTAGGAAAAAACAGAAACAAAATAAATATGATCTGAAAATATATATTAAAACAGACCAATAATGAATGCTCTGGAGTGAAAACACAAACACAGCAAAACCACTCTCTTCTCATGTCTCAAAATAAGCTAAAGAGATGCTTCAGTGGAATTATTAAAGGGATAGTTCACCCAAAATATTTACTCACCCTCAGTTGTTCCCAAATCTTTGTAATGTTAAACACAAAAGAAGATATTTTGAAGAAAGCTGAAAACCTGTAACCATTGACACAGTATAGGAAAAACAAATACAACGGAGGTCAATGTTTTCGACAGTCTTCAAAATATATTATTTTGTGTTCAACAGAAAATGATGTAAATGATGACCGAATTTTCATTTTTGGGTGAACTATCCCTTTAAAAGTTCATTCATTCATTTTCCTTTGGCTTAGTCCCTTATTTGTCAGGTTTCATCACAGCAGAATGAACCTACTATACTGGCACTTTTTACGCAGAGCATGCCCTTCTAGCCTCAACCCAGCACTGTGAAACACCAATACACATTCATTCACACACACACTCTCATACACTACGGCCACTTTAGTTTATTCAGTTCACCTATAGCGTATGTCTTTGGACTGTGGGAAAACCGGAGCACCTTAAAGAAAACCCACGGCAACATGGGAGGAACAAGCAAACTCCACACAGAAATGACCCAGCCAGGACTCGAATCAGCGACCTTCTTGGTGTGAGGAGACAGTGCTAACCACTGAGCCACCGTGCCATCCTCTTTAAAAGTTGAATAACTATACAAAATTGATCTACACTTACTGACCACTTTATTAGGTACACACATTTAACTGCTGGTTAATGCAAATATCTGATCGGCCAATCACACGTGAGCATTTACACTAGCAGAAACTGGAAGGGCATCCGCTGCGTAACACATAAGCTGGAATAGTTGACGGTTCATTCCGCTGTGGCGTCCTCTGAAACAGAGACTAAGCTGAAGGAAAATGTATAAATCAATTATACCAGGGCCTTTAAGGTAATTCTGGTAATTCCGAAGGCAAAAGCAGGTCCGAGAAATAAAAGCAGAAAGGCTAGCTAATAGAGTGGATGTTGGTGTAAATTAGATTTGATTTAAGATGTTTCCTAGGTCATTGTTTCTCAACCATGTTCCTGGAGGACCACCAGCTCTGCACATTTACCATGTCCTAAGCCACGGTCACACTGCACTTTTCGCCCTATAGACTTTCCTTAATATGTGAATGCTGCAGACAGGAAACGCAAGCTTGTGCAACAAGTTTCACATGTCACTGTGTTGGAAATGCTTGGTGAACTCTGAGCTGTGAAATCACATGATTGTGTGAGGCCAATAAACGATCAAAAAGTGACCTCTCTGGACAGAAATTTAAAAAATAGACAAATCGTTTGCTTTTTTTTAATGTCTAATCATCAGGGGTGTCAAAATTAATCGTTTCTTCGGTGCACTGCGATGCAGACGTGGACAATTCGGTATCGGTTCAGTAATAATCATAACCGGTTATTACTGACGTCATTTACCTCATATGCGCTCTGTCGCGAGGGAGGCGATCGCGAGTATTTACAGCGCTTTAACTACTTAAAACTCATAAACTGTGCACAATTTCACTGTGTGTGTTTGCTGGATCAGTCTTTCACTGACATATACAACAATAAACCCTATTTCACTGAGATCGAGAGAATGAAAGTAGCATACTCCATTTCTCTCTTTCTCTCTCTCGCTCTGTCTCTCGCTCTGTCTCTGTCTCTCGCTCTGTCTCTGTCTCTCTCTCTTTCTCTCACACACACACACACACACACACACACACACACACACACACACACACACACACACACACACACACACACACACACACACACACACACACACACACACACACACACACACACACACACACACACACACACACACACACACAGTGGCCCATTTGACCTGCTGGCGTGGCTTTTCTTCTCCTCTCGGCTGTTTTAGAGCATTACGTTTGGATACAGAAACGAGCGCGTGTCTGCAGAGTTTTCTCCACCGTGTCTATCATGCATCAGCTGTGAGATCGCCGCTGCCGCCTGCTGCCTATCAGTGTCACTCATCCGTGAAGAGCGCAGCACGCAAGAGCCAATAGCAACCGTTTTTGTTGAGGGTGTGACCAATTAAAGGGGTGTAAGAGAACAAGACAAGGATCAGAAATTGAGCTGGATGTTTATATTTGTTTATATTATTTGCTTAATGCTCGTTTTGTTTAAAGTTGCAGTTTATATATCTGACTGTTTGTATTAAACGACAAAATTGTATTACAAATAGTATATAAATATAAATATATTCATACATTTTAATACAAGAACTGCTGCTGTGAAGAAAATATAAAACTGTGTATGGAAAGCACCGTCAATGCACCGTGATGCACCAAAACATCGAATTGAACCGAATCGATGGCATGATAATCGTAACCGAACCGTGAGACTAGTGTAGGTTCACAGCTCTACTAATCATCTTGTTTAATCCTTTTTCTCAGGGCCGTATGAAAGATTTTCGCATTCTCAGACTCTAGTGTGACCAGAGCATTAATGTCTTAACCAAACACACATGATTCCAATCATCAGCTCATTAACTGAGACTAAAAGACCTGTAATGTGTGAGATAGAAAAAAGGAGACGTCCAAAAGCAAGCAGTTCTGGTGGTCCTCCAGGAACGTGGTTGAGAAACACTGTTTAGGTCCTGTTGATTACTAATAAGCGCTGAAATTCACATACTGCCTGGTGGTGTGACTGCAATCACAGGACTGGTCCAAGAACTCCAGTAGCCTTTATAAGAAACGCCGTCCGGTTTGACACGGACCCACACCTTGTATCTGGTGTCGGGCTGTAAACCACGCAAAACCAGCATGGTGCTGGCTTTGGTCTCCTCCACCTACAGAAAACAAAAGTCCAGATGAATTTCAACAAGGATAAAAACACACCACTAATCAAAAGTCTGGAACAACTCAATGGTTTTTTGAAATGTCTCTTATGCTGATGAGGCTGCGTTTATTTGATTAAAAATACAGTAAAAATGGAAATGTTGTGAAATGTTTTAGCATATTTTAACATTTAATTTATTCCTGTTAATAAAGCTTTTCGTGATCACTACTCCAGTCTTCATTGTCACATGATCATACTCATTTGCCTATTTAATGGTTCATTATAGTTTTATTATTAGTATCAATACTGATCTTTGCTTATTTTTTGTAAAAATTTTCCTTCACATTCGCCAATCGTTGGAAGTTTTGTTCCTCGCCACTGTTGCCACTGGCTTGCTTGGTTTGAGACTTGAGGAGCTGCGCATCAATGTATTTGCTATTCGGTGTTTGGACTGTCAGCTGTGAAACTTAAATCACACTGAACTGAACTCTAAAAACTGGACTGACAGTTTCAATTTGGTAGAACTTCTATGTGAAGCTGCTTTGACACAATCTACATTGTATAAGCGCTATAGAAATAAAGATGAATTGAAATTATGATCATTTCAAGTTCAAATTAAGTGAGTTTCAAATTCTATCCCTTTATCTCCTCTAACTGCAACAAATGTGAATCTGCGGAAGGCTCCTTAGGACATCTTTTTTGGTCATGCCCAAAACTTTACGAGTTTTAGACTGAAATTTTCAGATTCTACTCTAAGGCTTATTCTTGTGTCCTCACCCCTGATCCAGCAAGCGCTGTTTTTGGTTGGTTTGACTCACTTTGTGGGGTTCAGTCATCAAATTAAAAAAGCTGTCCAATATGGAACGTTGGTGGCTAAAAATATATTCTTTGTCTATGGAGAAAGGCATTAAAAGCACTTCTTAAATCCTGGCTTTCTGAATTCTCTAGCACTTTACATTTAGAGAGACTTGGACACAATCTTTCTGATAGCATTGCTAGCTTCAAAGCCACCTGAAAACCCTTTTTTAGGTGTCTGTCCAATGTCAAGGATAACAGTTTAAAGGTTTAACCCTGTCATTGTTTGCATGATCACCATATTGCCTGTGCCCACTGGCCTAGATATACAGTTGAAGTCAGAATGATTACACCACTTGTTTATTTTTTCCCCAATTTCTGTTTAACAGAGAGCAGATTTTCTTCAGCACATTTCTGAACATAACAGTTTTAATAACTCATTTCGTAAAAAAACTTGCTGGATAAATTTTCCCTTTAAATAATAAAAGGACTAAGCCGACAAGAAAATTAATAAATGAATGAATGAATGATGACAGTAAATAATATTAGACTAGATATTTTTCAAGACTCTTCTATATAGCTTAAAGTAACATTTAAAGGCTTAACTAGGTTAATTAGGTTAAGTAGGCAGGTAAGTTATTGTATAAGGATGGTTTGCTCTGATTTCAGACAGTCGAAAAAAATTACCCTAAAGGGGCTAATCATTTTGTCCTTTAAATGGTGTTTAAAAAAATCAATAACTGCTTTTATTCTTGCTAAATAAAACAAATAAGACTTTCTCCAGAAGAAAAAATATTATCAGACATACTGCGAAACTTTCCTTGCCCTGTTAAACATCATTTGGGAATTATAAATAATTTAAAAAGGGGCTAATAATTCTGACTTCAACTGTATATGTGTAACTTTGTTAAACTATGTATAAAACTGGAGGAACTGATGTGACAATGGTTTTAAAATCTTTTTTTTCCCGTCTTTTTTGTTTTCCTTTTTTTTTGTTTTGTTTCATTTGCCTTTTCTGTCTTAACAGTTGTTGTTGCTTTTTATATTGCTTTATGTTGCTTTAAGGTCAAAATAAAAATATAATATAAAAAAATTAAGTGAGTTTTTAAAAAAGCTTAAAACAAACTAAATAATCTGCCAATGGGGTTAATAAAATAATCTTAATTCAAAGCAAAAACACCATTATTTTGCTCAATTTAAGGTAAAAACTCACTTAACTTTGACATTTTTGACTATATATTTTACCCGTCTAGAAAATGCTTCTTGATTAAAGAATTTTATGTCAAAAGGAAAAACAAGCCTATTTTTCTTACTCCATTGGCTCGGGTATACACTGCAAAAATACTTTTACTGTTTTTGTCTAAATATTTTTTTTGCAGTGTATACCTGAACCAATGGGGTAAGAAAAATAGGCTTGTTTTTCCTTTTGACATAAAATGATTTTGCTTACCCCATTGGCAGATTATTTAGCTTGTTTTAAGGAACAATTCACTTAATTTTGGCACATTATTTCTTAAAACAAGACAGAACGTTTTGCTCGTCTACAAAAATTGTCTTGATTTAAGATTATTTACGTATTTGGACTAGAAACTAAAAATCTAAGTAAGAAAATCATTTTTTGCAGTGTTGCGAGTCGCTGTCAGATGTCTCGCTGACGCTTTTTGGACTAATTGCAGTCTATTCAGGGCATTTTGACTAACACCCGCAGACAAAAAGTTGCAATAGTCAAGTCTCCCCAAAATAAAAGTATGGATACCCTTCTCGAGGTCATTAAAATAGAGAAATTTGCCACAAGTCGTACATGAATTTAGTTTCCATTGAATTTACTTGTTTGTGAAATTCCAAAGCACTATCGAACTGAAACCCTAGGTTTCTAACAACAGGTTTTTGATAAGTTGATGGCCTCAACCTAATTATTCCAGAGGGGCAGGATCCTCAAACCAAACCAGCTCAGTTTTTTCCACATTAAAATGTAAAAAGTTTGACGACAGCCAGGTCTTCACCTCGATTAGACATCTTATAAGGGAGTCAAGGCCATTTCTCTCATTACAGGGCACAACGATGAGGACTGCCTGATGGCCTGGGGCCAGCATGTGAGATGCTCGGGACAGTAGACAGTATCATTACTGGCCCGATTGCCTTGTCACTAAAGTTTAATTTGCCTGTGACTATTTGTCAATTGCGTGCAAATACAGTCTTAGAATCGAGAAACAGTTTGGGTTTTTAAGCCTTCAAATGCTACCTTCTCTGTGATGTCACAAGCACTATATTGCTTTTAGGTTCCTCTTATGTGATTGGATGTTGTGAGGATGTTATTTTTTTCCATAACAACCAGTACAGCGAAAAGACGGCAACATCAAATGATGATGCTAAAAGAAACGTTTGTTTTTCATTTCTTGGAAGCAGACATTGCGAGGGTACACCACAACTAAAAAAAAAAAAAGAAGTGATTTTTTGTACAGTTTGCCATCAGTTTGGCACGTCAGCCACTTTTGTTTTGCAATAAAATACCTGCACATTTTCCATACCGCTACTTCTGTTTGCATAACACTTTGAATTTTGCTCATTATACATTAACTAACATTTTTTATAATATTTAAATTCTAGATTCACAAACATTTTTTTATTTGTGGCTAAGAAATAGCTATTAACTTTTTTTGGTGGGGCCAGTGAAAATATTAGCAGGGAAAGTCAATATCTGAACCACTGGTCCAACCAGGCCAGTAGAAAAAATCTTTAGCGTTAAACCCCGCATTATTTTTAAGAGGGACATAAATCTGAATATCGTCAGCATAAAAATGAAAAGCCACCCCATACTTACAGAAAAAACTGTAGAATATTGATATACACTGTAAAAAAGATCTGTAAATTAGCAGCTTTCCATATATTTTGTGATTCATGTTTTTATTTTTACATTTATTTATGCTTCTGAATTGCTCTGAGACCTTGATCTTTCTGCCAACAATTTTCAACCTTGACAAGTTTCAAAATGGCTTGGCAAATAATAAACTCTCAGTACAGTTATTTGACAGACTTATTTCTCTATATAATATTTCTCATACTGTACTTTTATATGATTTACAAACCACTAAAACGTCAATAAAAGTCACTTTGTTAAACTGTAGAGTTAAACTTTCAACGTCAAAAGTCGACAGAACAGTGATCAACATCCTATAATGCTATTCACAACCGTAAATAAACAGTGTAGATCAGGGATGGCTAACCCTGTTCCTGGAGAGCCACCTTCCTGCAGATTTCAGTTGCTACCCATATCAAACACACCTGAACCAATTAATTACACCTGAACACCACATGATAATTACAGGCAGGTGTGTTTGATATGGGTTGCAACTGAAATCTGCAGGAAGGTGGCTCTCCAGGAACAGGGTTGGCCACCCCTGGTGTAGATATATAACGTACCTTGCCCATGTGACTGTCCTCCACAGCGTATCTGACCTCATAAATCAAACTGTCATCAATGTATTTGACTGCAGGAGGCAGCCAGCTCACGTTCAGCTGCCCTTCCTTCCCCGAGCTCCAGACTGTGACGTTTCTGGGAGGATCCGTCAACACTGCCAGAGGAACAATAATAATAATAATAATCCATTTTATTCATTCACAATAAGTCATTTAGCTGATGCTTTTATAAAAGTGACTTAGAATTGAGGAAAAAGACGATCATTTTTAGACACAAAGTGCTAAACAGCCTTATAAAACATCTCACACATGAGGACAGCATGCATTCAACTTGTGTTCAACATTCACACAAAGAACAATAATGAATGTGAGAGAATGCAGAAAAACACTGAAAAATGCTTACATTATGGGACTTTTAAGTTAAATTTGTCTCTAATGATGATTAGATCAAGCCGCGCAGAAATGACCAGGCATATTTTTGATATTTGCTTCCATCGCTGAGGAATCCTTCTCAGAATTTTTACCATGCCTGTCTTGCTAGTTAGCTTATCACTTGGAAACAACTCGGTTTATCAACTGAACGTATAAAATCCATACACAGTATACTGAAGTATAAAAAGTTATGATGAACTTGCATTTGCGTGAAAATCTACTTGAACTCCTCGTGAACGGTTTTGCTGAACTAATTCTCACACTTACACCGGGTGACCGTACATGGCCTATTAAGTGTTAGGCCAGTGTGCTGCAAACACAGACGTTGTGGGTTCAAAACCAGCATAGGGCAACATTAGTGAGTTTTAGAGGCTGAGCACCGAAGATGACATGAAGCAGAAGTTGTTGCAGGCGTTTTTTAAGCCCTGCTAACACCATAGTAGGATAAATATGTCAGTGTCTTCACTGTGTTCTGTGGCTTGAATTCAGATTTTGGTGGTCATCTCGCAAACTGTCCTTGGACTCAAAAAGAAGAATTTTTCTCTTATCAGTCCACATGGTAGTCCACTTTTCTGTAGGCCGGTTGGTGTGTTCCTTAGCAAATTATAACCTCTTCTGCACATGCCGTTTTTTAACAGAAGGACTTTGCGGGGGGTTCTTGAAAATAGATTAGCTTCTCATAGACGTCTTCTTACCCTCTCAAGGCAGGCGTTACAGATTTGCAACAGTTAAAAATGAACTACCTTATTACTCCAGATACATATTTTATTATATGTATTATATGAGTTTTTTTTACTCAGAATTACCACTGCAGGACTTGGTTGTCCATTTGCAACAAACAGTTTCCCCACTTGCTCACCAGATGACACACAAAAAGTTTCTTGGAGTACCACATGACAAAGTGACTTGGAAACATGACCTACTCAATGAGGATTTGGATTTGATTTGGATCCCATATTGTTTTTGTTGTTGTTCTGCCACTTAAAAGCAATTTGTTACATTGTTTGAAAAGTTGTATATAAAAAGGTAATATTCAGTCGTCAGTGTCTTATTACCACACTGAGCCAATGTTGCAAATCTGGAACATCCCAGAATGCCTTGCATGTGAAGGTCTCTCTCTCTAAAAAAAAGTCAGGATTCTATTGTACTACGCCATATGATAATTTTCCCCAAATATCAGATTTTTTCTGTTTTTAAAATTTAATTTGAGCCTGAGAGGGCTAACTGTTACTTACAGGTAACTCCAGACCGTCTTAGATCATCCTGGAGCTGATCATTGGCTGAGCCTTTGCCGTTCTGGTTATTTTTCAATCCATGTTGATGGCTGCCTTTCGTTTTCTTCCACGTCTCTCTGGTTTTGCCCTCCATTTTAAATCATTGGGGATCATTTTAGCTGAACAGCCTATATTTTTGCACCTCTTCATAGGTTTTTCCCTCTCCAATCAAATTTTAATCAAAGTACGGTGTTCTTCTGAACAATGTCTTGACGTTTCACTTGCCTCACACTGCAAAAAAAGCTTTTCTTACTAAGATTTTTTGTCTTGTTTTGTAGTCCAAATATCTAAAAATTCCTAAATCAATAAGAATTTTCTACACAAGCACAACATATTGTCTTGTTTTGAGAAATAATAAGCCAATATTAAGTGAGCTTTTCCATAAAACAAGCAAAATAATCTGCCAATGGGGTAAGCAAAATAATCTTACGTCAAAAGAAAAAAAACAAGATTATTTTGCTTACCCCATTGGCAGATTATTTTGCGTGTTTGAAGGAAAAACTCACTTGATATTGGCATATTATTTCTCAAAACAAGACAATATGTTGTGCTTGTCAAGAAAATTCTTCTTGATATAAGAAATTTTAGATATTTAGACTAGAAACAAGACAAAAAATCTAAACAAGAAAAGCATTTTTTGCAGTGCAGGCTTTCAAATGCACTTTCAATAAGTCCTGACTCATCCTTAAACCTGATTCACACCTGTTTTTTTCACAAAATTGATTACCTCACTGAATGAATGCTACTCTGCTATGGAATGGCCAGCCCAATCCCCGGATCCTAATCTAATCGAGAACTTGTGGGGTAATATCAAAAATGCTTGGCATGAAAAACCAAGAAATTGTGAAATTTTGTTAAAGAATGATGGAGTGGAATAACAGCTGAAATGTGCCACAAATTGGTTGAACTCATGCCACACAGATGTGAAGCAGAACAACTGTGGTCATACAGCTAAATATTAGCTTAGTGATTCACAGGAACACAAGCGTTTGTACAAAATAGTTTTGAGTTTGCACAGTCAACGACAGACATTGCTATTTTTTTTTTAACACAGCCCTTTCAACTAATTGCCCAATTGCACAGCATTCAGAGTGTGCATATCATGAATGCTGGGTCTTGTTTTTTTTCTGAAAATATACTGCACCTACTAGTACCTTATTTTCCATGTATCAATAAAAAATATCCTAAAAACCTGGATTATTCTGGTTAGTCACGATGTACTGCTGTTATTTTGAACAATACTGAACAATTTCTGACAATAAAAAAAACAGAAGATGACAACACTGCAGCACACCTACAATAAAGATTGTTATTGTGCATTTGTTCAGACGCTAAAAGTTCAATACCTAGTATGAAAAGACTTGATTACACTTACAGATGTTCTCAACATTGAGGCTACGATTATACAGCATCTGACCATCACGGAGAACCTGCACGTCCAGAGAGGTGAAGAACAGGGCTTTGGGCAGTTTGCAGAAGAAGACGCTTCTGTTGCTGCTCAGTAAAAACAAAGATGAAACCGCACAATCCATCTTGTTCTCATTCCTGAAGACATATGAAAAGAAGAAGTTACATTGGTTAATATGCACTGACACAGTTTCAGAACTTCTACGTTAAGCTGCTTCGACACAATCTACATTGAAATAAAGATGAATTGAAAATTGAATATCTTCATTAGACAAATGAACTGCATCAATAAAGGGTTGAGATCACCCAAAAACCTGCCTGAACACTCTACCTCAAGTGGTTTTAAACTTTGATGAGTTTTTTTTAATTTTGTTGAACAGAAAAGAAGATTCGAAAGTGATGGTTGTTGGCTCCTATTGACTTCCATAGTAGGAAAAAAACAAATACTATGGAAATCAATGAGTCCCAACAGCTAACATTTGTCAAATTATCATCTTTTCTGTTCAACAGAGGAAAGAAACTCAAATAGGTTTGGAAGAAGTAAAGGGTAGGTGATTAATTCTCATTTATACCTTTAAGTAGTCAGGGTGTCTTATCTCAGTTTGTAGGAATACATTGAGAAACAACAAATAATAATATGCGATTGACTTACATGTATGTATATGTGAAGGTATAGTTATCTTGTGAATAATTCGTCCCGTCCTCCTTTTCCCAGAAGCAAGTGAAGTCCTTTTTCCCCTCCACAAAACATTTAATATCCTCGGTTTCATCTCGGATTAACTGGGCCACTGAACAATCAAATTGTGTTGCAAATATCATCAGCGACAACAGCACGTTTATTTTTGATTAATAATGCATTGATAATAAAAGCACAATGTGGAGCAACATTCAAACATTCCTTTCAAATCAACATTAAGCAATGAATTCTTACAGATTTTGGATATGTTTTTGTATAATGTGGATTTGGAGCTTAAGCAGCTTGCATATTTCACAAATATTTAGAATATCTGAATTCTTCATATTCAAAAGTTCAATTTGCATTTAATAAAAATGACAGTAAGAGCAGTCATACTGTGAACTTTAACAATGTTAAATGACAACAAAAAGCTATTATTTACTTTAAAAACTTAGAACTGTTAAGTTTATTTCGCTAAATTTTTATAATTATGCATAAAGTGATGTACTTTAAGTAAAGTGAACTAAACACTTTGAAAGCAACGGATTTGCTCGCTTTAAGTCAACTAATTGCTTTAAAATCTGCGGGTTTACGCAACTTTTTTAAAAGTAAAGTCAACTAACCACTTTAAAATTGACGTGTTTACCCACTTAAAGTAAATTCAACTAATCGCTTTAAAAGCAACAGGCTTACTCACTTTTAAGTAAAGTCAACTAATTGCTTTAAAATCAACGGGTTTACTCATGTAACAAAGTAAAATTGGTCACACTTTACATTAAGGTTCATTAGTTAATGTTAATTAATGCATTTACTAATGGGAACAGGCGACGCAGTGGCGCAGTGTAGCACGTTCGCCTAACAGCAAGAAGGTCGCTGGGTCGCAGGTTTGATCCTCGGCTCAGTTGGTGTTTCTGTGTGGAGTTTGCATGTTCTCCCTGTGTTCGCGTGGGTTTCCTCCGGCTGGTCCGGTTCACCCCACAGTCCAAAGACATGCGGTACAGGTGAATTGGGTAGGCTAAATTGTCCGTAGTGTATGAGTGTGTGTGGGTGTGTATGTGTGGATGTTTCTCAGAGATGGGTTGCGGCTGGAAGGGCATCCGCTGCTCAAAGACTTGCTGGATAAGTTGGCGGTTCATTCCGCTGTGGCGACCCCAGATTAATAAAGGGACTAAGCCGACAAGAAAATGAATGAATGAATGAACTAACGGGAACAAACAATGAACAATACATTTACTACTGTATTTGTTTATATTAGTTAACGTTAGTTAATGAAAATACAGTTGTTCATTGTTAGTTCATGTTAACTCATGGTGCATTATCTAATGTTAACAAGCATGGACTTGGATGTTAATAATGCATTAGTAAATGTTCAATTATGATTAATAAATGCTGTACATGTGTTGATCATGATTAGTTTATGTTAGTAAATGCATTAACTAATGAACCTTATTGTAAAGTGTTACCGTAAAATCAACTAATCAATTTAAAATGAACAGGTTTACTCAACTCTTTTAAGTCAACAAATCCTTTTAATATAAACAGGTTTTCTCACTTTAAGTAAAGTCAACTAATTGCTTTAAAATCATCAGATGTTCTCTCGTTTTTGAGTAAAGTCAACTAATCGATTTAGAATTGACAGGTTTATGAAACTTGAAGTAAAGTCAACAAATCCTTTTAAAATGAACGGGTTTACTCACTTTACAAATATCTTTAAAACCATTAGGTTTATTCACTTTAAGTAAAGCCAACTAATTGCTTTAAAATCTGCAGGTTTACTCACTTTAAGTCAACTAATCGCTTTAAAAGCAACAGGTTAAATCACTTTTTGAAGTAAATTGAACTAATCGCTTTAAAAGCAACAGGCTTACTCACTTTTTAAGTAAAGTCAACTAATTGTTAAAATCATCAGGTTTACAATTTTTTTTTATAGTCAACTAATCCGTAATTAATGGGTTAATTAAAGTAAACTAACCGATGTAAAACTGTAAGGTTTACACAACCTATTTTAACATGAAGTCACCTAATAAATGCAAAATCTCCTCAACTCAACTTATTTCTAGAGCACTTTCAACCAACCACATGGGTACCAAAGTGCTGTACATAAAAACACATAATACATGCAAACATACAAGGAACCAAAGTACATAAACTCACAACACATGACTAAAAGCTAAAGAGAATAAATGTGTTTTCAGTGACCTCTGAAAACACTCAAAAATTGGAAGATTGTTCCAAAGTCTTGGAGCTGCTACTGAAAAGCTCTATCACCTCGACATATCAAGTGTCACCGTGGAACTTGCAAATAGACTCGATTCTTAGAGCCAAAAGATCTCACGGGTTGGTGTATATTAAATAGCTCAGAAATATACTCAGGTGCCAGGAAATGGAGGGATTTAAAAACATACAGCAGCACTTTGTACTGAATTCTAAACTGGATAGTCAGTGTAGGGAAACCAGTACAGGTGAAAATCGACAGGTTTACGAAAGCTTTTTTCCCCATAAAGTCATCTAATCAATTTAAAATGGACAGGTTTACTCACTTTTTCTTTAATTTAAGGTCATCTTATTGCTTTTAAATGATTAGGTTTACTAACTTTAAAAAGCCTTCCCTTTAAAATGAACAGGTTTACTCACTGTTTTAAGTAAACTCAACTGATTGCTTTAAAATTGACAGGTTTACCGACTTTTTAAAGTCATCTTGCTATAAAATTGTTGGGTTTACTCACTTTTTTAAAAAAAGTGAAGTCAACTAATTGATTTAAAGCGGTTGGGTTTGTTTACTTTTTTTTAAAGTAAAGTCAAATAATTGCTTTAAAATCAATGGGTTTACTCACTTTTTTTCAGTAGCCAATTTTGCTTTTTACAGCGTATTTAAAAACTATTTTAAAATGTAAATGATTTATTTGTTGCAAGCAGCCATTACTCCAGTCTTCAGTGACACATGATTAACCATGTGAGCAATTTATATATATATATTTTTAAAGCGACTTAAAAAAAAAACTTTTTCGCCCTAAACAGGTAGTGTTTATATCCTTTTTTTAAAAAATTGCTTACAATAAAAAATTGAGTTAAACATCTAGTTAGTGAAAATTTAAATATGGATGCAACTTTATACTCAAAAACAGTAAACCAACAGATTGCGTTTCTTACCTTTACTTTCAAAATATTTTCCTCCTGAAGTGACAAATGCCAGACACAACATGAACACAATTTTCAATCTATCGCTCCTCATTTTTGTCATCCATTTAGCTTTACAAACTCATTAATAATCCATATAACTCTTCCGAAAGCTGTATTCTCATTTCCACCGGTGCTTTATGTCCAAATACCATTGCAGAAACCATAGACGGTTACGTGTATCTCATCCGATAAGCAGATCTTGTACTATAACAGTGTGTTTACGCTTTTACTATTGGAGGCGGAGCATCAAAGCGAGTGTTGTTTACAGGGAGGGGCTTAAGATCATGCTGCCACTACTCAATCCTCCCTCTCCAGATGCAAAAACGCAAGGTAGTTTTTTTTTTTTTTAAGGATCTTTAGGAGTTGTAAACATCTTGTAGGATGAATTGCATGTTCATGATCTGAAATACATTCTTCAGGTGTTTAGTAATGTGTGTTTTTTAGAGCACAAACTGCACTGGTGTTGTTCTGAACGA